AACAAGAGCCTTGCCCCCAGGGTGACCTGTCCTGCTTTAGCATATCATTCACTGGGCATGTGGTTTTGGGCCCCAGTGTCTGATATTTCATATCAACAGTCAGGCAGTTTAGACCTCCTCACCTTTCCCTCCCTAAAGACAACGTCTAGGCCTCAGTTGTACTTCAGCTCCCAGACCCTGAAAAGCAGCAACAGCCAAGTGACCCCGTGGCTGCCTCAGGACCAGCTACATTGACTAGTGACCCTACCCTGGCACCAACCAATCAGTGGAGACCATGACCCTGAAAGAGCACACCTGGAAAGCTGATGAATATTCTATAAAGTCCCGCCTTAAGACCTCCACTAAGATTTCCACCTGCAAGAAAGAGATAAATATTTCTCTGGCATCCCCTTTCCCCTCTCCTTCCCCCACAGGCCATTATCCCCTATCCTTTAAGGGCCCCCATGAGGCTTACAACCAGAGGAGCAATGGGCAGTGGCATTTCATGCCAGGTAACCCCCTGAACCTGCCTCTAAGACCCCCTTTTCCCTGACTTCTCAGTGAGCCAACGCAGTCCAGCCTCGGCTTTCCTGTTGCTCCTTTTTTTTTTTTTTTTTTTTTAAAATATATTTTATTGATTTTTTACAGAAAGGAAGGGAGACAGAGACAGAGAGCTAGAAACGTCAATGAGAAGGAAACATCGACCAGCTGCCTCCTGCACACCCCCCACCGGGAATGTGCCCACAACCAATGTACATGCCCTGACCGGAATCGAACCTGGGACCTTTCAGTTGATTCATGTATTCAATTACCTGAGAACTTACTGTGTGCCAGGTTCCTGTTGCTCCTTCTATGCCCTTCCTTATGTTACTGTCCTAAGTATATTTTTGCTGCTATCATTTAGCCAATATTCCTTTGGCTCTTGGCTCAAGGCTGTGCAACCCTTCCCCTTGGATATCCCCTTCCTCAACCGCTACCCTTAAATAAATCCACTTTTTCTTTATTCACCATCTGAGATAGCTGTTTAGCTTGCCCATGTTATCACCACGTTAACCCTTCGAAGGTCTCATCCCGGGTACTTCAGAATGTGACTGTATTCAGAGACAGAGCCTTTAGAAAGATGGCTACATTAAAATGAAACAGTTAGATTGCGCCCAGTCCAATATGACTGGTGTCCTTAGAGGAAAATTTGCGATGAGCCAGCGATGAACACAGAAGAAAGATCATGTGAGGATGCAGCAAGAAAGCTACTATAGGCAAGCAAGCCAAGAAGAGAGGCCTCAGGAGAAACCAAACCTGCTGACATTGATCTTGGACTTTGAGCTTACAGAACTATGCGAAAGTTCCCTTAGGTCAGATACATCTCTTATTCATCCTTGTGTTCCCAGATTCCTGCATAGTATACACCATATGGGTGGTATTGCAACTTTCCTTTCCAAGGTCACCAGCAATCTCCTTGTGGATAAATCCATTCTATACTTTTTAGTCCTTTCTTTCTTGCCTTTTCAGCAGCATTTGACCTTGTAGATCACTCTCTTTTTGCCAAACTCCTTTGCTATTCTCTCTTATTATTCCAGTTTCTCCTCCTCCTCAGTCTCATTTGAGGATTTCTCAAAAGTTGGCTGGTCTTTGGGATTCTATCTTGAGCTGTCTTCTTTCAGCACTCAATACACACCGTCTTGGGGCCATCATTTCCTTTCCCACCACTTCCAGGAGCACCCTTCGCTGATGACAGCCAAATCCAAATCACTAGCCCGGAATGCCACACCCATATACACAACTATTTACAGGGTATCTCCACTTGAAAGAAAGTCAGAAAAGAAAGCACAGCTGAAACCGGTTTGGCTCAGAGGATAGAGAGTCGGTCTGTGAACTGAAGGGTCCCAGGTTCGATTCCGGTCAAGGGCATGTACATTGGTTTCGGGCACATCCCCAGTAGGGGGTGTGCAGGAGGCAGCTGGTGGATGTTTCTCTCTTATAACTCTCTACCCCTCTCCCTCCCTTTCTGTAAAAAATCAATAAAATATATTTAAAAAAAGAAAACACAGGAGCTGCTTGAGTTCAAAGCCTTGTCCTTCACTAAGCTTTGCAGCACTGGGCAAGTTACTTACCTCTTTGTGCCTCAAATAATGATTAGTAATAAGGATAATGATGGGGTTGTTGTGGGTACTAAATGAGATAATTCAGAGATAATTTGTATACAGCACAAGGTGTAATGCCTAGCAATAGTAGTACTAAACAGGTTCAAAAGTGAATTCATCACCATACCTGAGGCTTTCTCTTCATTCTTTGTCTCAAATCTCAGTAAATGGCAGCACTATCCACCTAGCCAGAACCCTGGGTGCCATCTTTGTTTCCTGATCGCCACTGCCCTCCTATCCTATCAGGGGCTCTTCCTGGGCTTAATCTTGTTGGAATATACCTCTGACCCATCAGTGTTCCTGATGTCCCGGGTTTCCACGTATTCATTCATTCAATCCATAGAACTGTCCTGCAAAATAGGTGCTATCATTATCATCCCTATTTTGCAGATACAAAATTTGAAGCACAGAAAGATTAAGTAACTCATCCAAGATACTATGAGAGGCAAAGCTGGGATCAACCACTAGGCCATAGGCTATACTGTTTCTGTTGTAATACTTATCACATTCTGTGGTTTCCCTCCTCTCCCCTGTTAGACTATGTGTTCTTTGAAGTCTCAGATTTGTTTGCAAAAGCATCTTCAGTGACTAGAACAGTGCTCAGCAAAAGGTGCCTGCTTTATATAGCCAGTGAGTTGGATAATGCTTTAGAGATAAGACAAATAATAAGTCAATGGAAAGCAATAGACTAGCCATTGGCTTGCATTCGGTTATGGCCAAGATTAGACATTTTGTTTGTGGAGAAGGTTTTTGTTTTTATTTGTGAGGATAACAAGCAAAAGATTGGAGGATGAGTTTAAGAAGATATTAATATTCACAGATTCACGGATTCAACAATTCAGGGCACATGCTATAATCCTTTTAAGAGAGGGAAATTTGCTAAAACTGGTTTGGCTCAGTGGATAGTTGGCCTGCGGACTGAAAGATCCCGGGTTCCATTCCATTCCGGCATGTACCTTGGTTGTGGGCACATCCCCAATAGGGGGTGTGCAGGAAGCAGCTGATCAATGTTTCTAACTATCCCTCTCTCTTCCTCTCTGTAAAAAAAAATCAATAAAATACATGAAAAAAAAAGAGGGAAAAATTTGACAAATAAATTCTTTTTTTTAAAATAAATTTTTATTGTTCATATTATTACAAATGTCCCCCCCCCCCCTCCATTGCTCTCCTCCACCAGGTTCCCTTCCCCCCCCACCCATTGTCCTCATCCATAGGTGCACAGTTTATGTTCAGTCTCTTCCCACATCCCCCTTTCTCCTTTCCCCCAGACAAATAAATTCTTATAACAAGAATTCACAGTCTTCTGAGTGCAGTCACTACCAAATTTTTACAACTGCTTTTTTAAAAAAAGAGGCTACTACCTACTTCCTTGTTACTCAAATTGTGTTAAAGGACCCAATTTTAGTGTCATGCAAGGCAATTCAGATGACATATCATGCTGGATCTGAGAAAATTTAAATTGGGGGACAAATAAAAAACGTAAGCTCAGAGTTCCAATTTGCCCTGGGGGGTCAATTTAAGTGTGCAGTTCATTTATATTCACTATCACCTGGGGGAACACTGTACACTGTGTGGATTCCTCCACCACAATAAACAGACAGGTTGATTTTCTTAAACAGGATCCAGAAAAGTACTTGCTGTGCAGGACCTGGGAAGCCCCAAGAGAGGGAATTGAGAACTCCATCCCTAAATTTGTCCCTTCCTATTTCATCTCCTCTCTTTGTGCAGGCCTTCCTCCTTTTCACTGCTGGGTTATTTCCTTAATCTTCTTGGCCCCAGGTGCAAGGCTCCATCCTGTGGCACACTGGAAAATCTCTCAGAGGCACCTGAGCTCAGCAAAAACAATTATTTTCTTCTTCACCCGCTGGGCAATAAAGCAGTGCCAAGCGGGCTCGGAACCTCATTAGGCAGACCGGGCAGAATCAGGCAGAATGCTGTTTACATTCGCACCATCGCTCTCCCTGGAGCTCCGGACATCAGAACCAGGAGAGATCCAAAAAGCCTCTTTGGTGGCCTTTTCTTTCTCTCCCCCACCTTTCCATAGCCTTCATGAAGAGTAATTAATTATGATTTACAGGCAGTCATCAATTGCAGTTTGCAGACTCGAGGCACAATATAAATATTTCCCCTTGAAAGCCAAGTTAGAAGACACCCCTGTTAGGAGAAATGAGATGTAAAACCACGGGGCAATTGAAATACATATTCGAGCTAAAAAAAAAAAATGGTCCAAGCACCGTCAAAAGAAGAAACAGCAGTGCAATCGGTCTCTGCAGTAACGGGCATATAATGACAGGGTCGTTTTCAGCCCATTTCCCCATCCTGCTGGGCAAGAGTTGGCTCCATTAAGGAAAAAGGGTCAAACGAACTGGAGGGGGGGGAAAACAAACCCCAAACACCAATTATTTGTGATGCCTGGTAAACAGCCTGCGCCGGAGGATAAGGCTTTGCTGGCTCTCAGATATGCATTCCCCCCCTTGCCAGGCGCCGGCCCCCTCCCTGGAAGGCGGGGTGGGAGGTCTAAGAATAGCCGGTGAATCACAGCGGATAACTGTGTGCAGCGGTTACGTAAACAGGCGGCCCGGCCCGGCCCGGCCCGGCCCGGGGCCGGAACGGAAGCGATCGGGGTCAGCGTTGTCACTCTGAATAGGGTCCCCCGGAGCCGGCCTGCGGGAGGCGCGGCCGGGGCTGAGACTGGGCCCGCGGGGCCGGGAGCAGCAGGGGCGCGGCGGGCGGGAGCGAGCCCGCGGGCCGGGCGCGGCGGCGCGAGCAGGCGGGCGGGCCCCGCGCTCCCATGGCCGGGGGCGGGCCGCGGGGAAGGCGGCGCTGACGGCCCGGGGCGGGCGGGCGGGCCTCGGAGCAGGGCCCGGGGCCGCGGGGAAGATGAGCGCCGGCCTAGAGCAGAAGGAGCAGCAGGAGAGGCTGCGGGAGGCCGCGGCCTTGGGGGACCTCCGGGAGGTGCAGAAACTGGTGGAGAGCGGGGTGGATGTGAACTCCCAAAATGAGGTCAACGGCTGGTAAGTGGGGAGCGGGGGAAGGCCAGGGTCAGCGCGGCGGGCGGGGCCTGGGGCGGCCGCCCGTGACCTCGGCGACGCCCGCTAAGGCGGGGCCTGGCGCCCGGGGGAGCCCCCCAAGGTGGTGCGCTCCGGAGGCCAGGCCTGGACCCCTCTGCCCAGTGGAGCCGGGAGCGCGGACTGCCCAAATCCTGGCCCACGTGGTCTCCCCGGGCAGCGCCCACCCCACCCCGGCGCCCCCGCCGCCTCCGCATCCTTCCCTCCCCCCCTCCCTCGGCCTGAACGGTGCTGGCTACGGTTCTCACGCGAATTTGGAGTTCACCCCAAATCAGATGTTGAATTGTTTTGCCATAGGTGCTTCTGCAGAACACACGTGCACAGCAAAAAGCATAGATGGATCTTACAAACTAGCACGATTTCATTGCTCAAGAGCAGGAAAAAAAAAAAAAAATCAATTGCATCCCTGCTCTGCTCTTGTTGCCCCTCTCCAGCAGTGATGGCTGCTGCCTACAGCTGCCCGAGGGAAGACTCATTCATTTGTTCTTCGGAGTGTTTTGCTTTGTTTTCCTGTTATAGTTTCAAATCGAGAATTTGGTCTAAGGCTTTAGATACTTTAAATCCCTCCCGATGACATAAGGAGTCATTTTAAGTAAGATGTGCTGGTGATCAAATTTTTAGTGTTAAGTTACTGAACGTGTTATTATTCTGTCTTCTTCCCATGTAAACGTAAGTTTTTTATTTGATCCTGCCTATTTTGCTAGCCCAGGGTTAGCGAATGTTATCTTTTAAAAGTGGAATCATACCTTTGGAACCGAAAGGGTCCTTGTAGGTGGGTTCATCCCCGGAGAATAACTTGCCTCTAGGTCACACAACCAGACCTCGCAGATCGAGCTTGCTCGGTAGCACACACACAGTTCTAAGGGCTTTACCTTTATTAGTATGTCATTCACAACGACACAGGGACATAGCTTTTGTTATTCTCTCCATTTTACAGATCAGGAAACGAAGGCCCAGAAAGGTTAAGTAATCTCCCCAAGGTCATAAAATTGCACTATCTAGTGGAGCTAGGAAACAATCCAGCATTGGACTCCAGACCCTGCTTGCCTAACCACGGAACAAGTGCTGTTTTAAAAAGAAACTACAGGCCCAAGGTCCCAAGGACAGCAAGCCAAGACTTGATTGCAGTTTAAGCCCCTCCCAGAAAGGTGACTGTCAATCAGTCAGATTAGGGATTTCCTGATCAACACTAGTGAGGTCATCTACCTAGTAAGACTCCTGCTGCTCCCAAAGAGTGCACTTGTCTGAAAAGAAGCGATCCTTGCTTACATTAGCAACTTTCTTGTCCTGCTCAGTTTCTGCCTATTAAAACCTTTCCTTTTTTTACAGCTTCTCAGAGCTCCCTTCTATTTGCTAGGTGGGATGCTGTTCAATCCTGAATTATATTTTTTTAATTGATAACAAAGAGGAATGGAGAGGAAGAGAGAAACATAAATGAGAGAAAAATCATTGGTTGGCTGCTTCCTGCATGCCCCCCACTGGGGATCGAGTCTGCAACTCGGGCATGTGCCCTTGACCAGTATTGAACCCGGGACCCTTCGTCCACAGGCCGATGCTCTATCCACTGATACTGGCCAGGGCAATCCTGAATTATTTAATAGAGCCAAATTAGATCTTCAAATGTACTGGGTTGAATTTTGTTTTTTAACAATGCTCAGTTGATATAAGTTGAAGCTTCTCATAGATTTATTGGGACAGATGTCTAATAGCTGCCTCAAACTCAAGGTGTCAAAGGTTGAGTTCCTAGTCTGCTCTCATCCCCTCATTGCCCCAGGCCTGCTTCTTGGGGTCCTCATCTCAGCGTCTGAGGTGCTCAGGCCAGAACCCTCAGTGCCAGCCTTGCGGTCTTCCCCTCACACCCACAGCCAGTCAGTCGGCGAATTCTGACCGCTTCTCACTGGCTGTACCACTGCCTCTAGACAGAGCTGCCATCATTCTGTTAACCGGATCAGTGCAGTGGCCTCCTAACTAATCCCTTGTTTCTACCCTGACTCCTGACAGTCTTCTTCAGCAGAGAAGTCAGAGGTATCTAACTTAAACATAATTTGGATCATGTCACTCTGCTCAGGACCCTCAAAATGGCTCCCATTTCACTCTTAAGAGCTCCTCCTGTCCCTGAGCCTCTCTGCCTCAGTGCCTCATCTCTGCACTTGCCCCTTGCTTTCTTCACTCTGCTCTCTTGGCCTTGCTTTTCCTGAAACATCAGGCACAGCTCTGATCTAAGTCCTTTGTGTGTTTCCTTCCTTCCATCCCAAATGCTTTTGCTTCCTCACCTCCTTCAGGTCTGAGCTTAGATATAACCTTGGTGAGACTTTCCTTGGCTCTTCAATTTAAAATTGCACTATGCCCCTCCCCTACCTCTGGCATCCCCTAATTCCTTTCCTTGCTTTATTGTCCCTATAACACTTCATAATAGCAAGCATACTGTTTGTTTTGCTTATTTATTTGCTGGCTGCCTCAGTTTCCTCATCTGTATTATGGAAGGAATGTTGATAATAGTACTTAATTCCTGGGTTGTTTCGAGGATTAAATAAGTTAATGTCTGTATTTTTTTTTAGGCCAATGTCCAGCATGGAAAGCCTTATAATTGTGTTATTATATAAGCAGTGTGCTGGATAAAGACTCAATAAACAAACAAGTACTCTCTAGCAGAATCATTACTGCTTTCAGTTCTTCGCTGCTCAGTAACCACAATTTCAGCACTGATGAATGATGCCCAGGCCTCTGGTCTGAAATACTTCCCAGCACTCATAAGATATTCTGACTGCAAATTTAAAGCTTGGAGAGTTGAGGTTCAAAGATAGAACTCCCACATCGACTATAATTTAAGTGTCCTGAATATCCCTTGGCTTTAAGGAACAAGTCTAATGGCCCAGGAAGAATTTGAAAAGATTGCCTGGTTGCAGTGGCTCTGAGTTATGACTGCCCAGAGCCACACAGGCCTGGACTGTAGGTGATGATTAGGGCACAGGGCTGGGGTGGGGGGCAGTGCTGGCCTAACCCCACTTGGCATGGTGCTACTTTAGCTGGTTTGTCCCAGAGTATCTCAGACCCACTGGCAGTCCATTACCTCCTTCCTCTCAAGCTTGTCATGAGCAAGTCTGCCATGATTTACTACTAGCAAGTGAGCATTTATTTCCAAAGGGAACATATTTTTCTCATCAGGCTCCATTCATTTTTGAGTGCTCGCTTATTATAATTATTTACTTTCCAAGCCTCTGCTACAGAATCCACACACAAATACACTGTGGGCTGCCGTTTGCCCAGAATGCGTTGGATCCTTCTCCTCCTAGCAACACTCATTCAGCAAATATTAAGAACTTGCATGTCTAAGACCCTTCCTTATCTTTGTGGAGCTTATGTTGTAGAAGTCTAGAACAAGACTCTTCCCTTATTTTTCTAACATTGGCAGTCATATCGTCATAGAGTGCATCTTAAAGGCACTTGAATAATTTTAGTGAATAATATTGTAGATTGTCACTCTGGCACATCAGTGGAGTTGCTCCCAGCCAGCCAGACAAGCTTGCTTTCTGTAAATCATAAATATCAGGGTACCCATGGCAAAATCAGCTTTTCCTGGAACCAAATGAACTTTCTAGATACTATATTTCCCAGGTGAGAGACCTAATTCTCATATTGAACATATGTTCTATTCTTTACCATAAATGTATTTGCCTATAAGCGCTAAAGATATTTATCTCAGTTTAAAGAGTTGGTGAATGAGGACATTTCATGACAGTGGGAAAAAGTCTTTCCTTCCCTGGTATCATTCAGCTTTGACAACTGGGGATGAATTTAGTAGCTCTGAATCCTTTCATTTCTGTTAAGATGGAGTTTTTGTGGGCATGCCAATTATATTTCCATACAGTGTTAAAACAACCTTCAGTGTGTACATAACTTCTATGTCTACAATATTAAAGAATTGATTTTACTTAAATGAGTCTAGTATGGTAGAAGAGTTCCTGAAATTTAGGTGGTTGATGTACGTTTTTAAATGCCTTAGGAATTAATGTCTGAGCAGTGCCTTACGTGTAAGCAGATGAGGGTGTGTTCGTAGCCTTCTGGAGAGAACAAGAGAAGCCAACATTTTTAAAAATGGAAATTTAGCCCTGGCTGGTTTGGCTCAGAGGATAGAGCATCAGCCTGTGGACTGAAGAGTCCCTGGTTCAATTCCAGTCAAGGGCACATGCCTGCGTTGTGTGCTTGATACCCAGTAAGGGGCGTGCAGGAGGCAGCTGATCAATGATTCTCATCATTGATGTTTTTCTCTCTTCCTCCCTCTTCCTTCCTCTCTGAAATCAATAAAAATATATTTAAAAATAAAAATGGAAATTTAGAAACCCTTTTTGTAGTGTGAAGGAAAGAAAAAGAGGAAAAGACTCAGACAAGAATCTGTGTTACTAGTAATTTAGTGGCAGAGCAAACTTATAGATAAGATGGTTATTTGCCTGATAATATTTAATCTACAAGTGCTAATTGATGCATATGAAACAAGTTTCTGTAGTCCCTAAAAAAGGAATGTGCCAATATAAAGACATATTTTAAAGAGATTGGGACAATCTAATGAGCAATACTGCTAGACTAACGCTCAGCAGTACCATTAGAGTCAGCCAGCCAGCCAGCCAGCCTGTCAGCCTTCTGGAAGCCATTGACATTAAAGCTCCTAGGACAAATCAGTTTCTCCCAAGAGCCAGAAATGAAATTTAAAAATGAATTTTAAGCATATTTTGCTCATCTGCTTTCTGTAAAGAAAAGTTGAGATTACTAGCCTGGTTTCCTGGTCCTAGCAAAACTCTTGCATATATTTATTTGCTAACCTGTAGAATTTGAAATCCCAAATCGCCTTTCTTCTTTTTAAATTACTCCCCCCCCCCCCTTTTTTTTTTGGGACAGGACCTGTTTGCACTGGGCCTGTAAACGCAATCATGGTCAGGTGGTCTCTTACTTGTTAAAATCAGGAGCCGACAAAGAGATTCTTACCACGAAAGGAGAAATGCCAGTCCAGTTGACATCAAGGAGAGAAATCAGAAAGATAATGGGAGGTGAGTCTGAGTTCTGGGGCAGGTTTTGACTTTGTCAAACTAATTTAAGACTGGTGGTATTATTGGCTGTATTTTTTATGCAATTCAAGCAACCAGTTTGTTTCTAAAAGCAAAGACCTTACTGTGCCAAGGTAGTAATTCTGTGTTGTTTCTGGAAAGGTAGGCATTGTAAGCTTTTTAATCTGTAAAACTTAAGATGATAAAAACGGTAATCATAAATGAACTGTTCTTTTTCTTCTGACTTGAAGAGGCACTGCACACTGACCATAGACCAAAGCACACTAGATTTCACAAGACACCGTTTCTTGCCAATTTCTGAAGGGCTATGTAACGGTTCTGTGCTTTCTTCTTTTGAAGCGGAAGAAGATGATGATGATGATGACAACCTCCCCCAGATGAAGAAGGAGTCAGACCTGCCCTTTGTTCCCAACTACTTGGCCAGTCCAGCTTTCCCTTTTATCTACACCCCCGTGGCAGATGATTCGGCCCCGCTGCAGAATGGGGGCCCCACCACACCCCCTGCCTCACCCCCTGGAGACGGCTCCCCTGCATCGCTCCCTGCTGGGGAACGCCCCCTGCTGGGGGCCTTTCCGAGGGACCACCCCTCTTCGGCTCTGGCGCAGAATGGGGACGCGTCTGCCCCCTCTGCTCGCCTCAGAACACCAGAAAGCACAAGACCTGTTTGTCAGCCACCAGTGAGTCAGAGCCGATCACTGTTCTCTTCTGTCCCGTCCAAGCCACCAGTGTCTCTGGAGCCTCAAAATGGGACATATGCAGGCCCAGCGCCAGCGTTCCAGCCGTTTTTCTTCACTGGAGCATTTCCGTTTAATATGCAAGGTACCTCCTTGTCAGCAGCCGCCTCTGCAAACGGGCAGACAGCATCCGGAGCTCTAGAGCTTTACTCTGGGTTTGGGGTGGAATGTATTTAGGTTAAATTTAATTATAGATTTACAGAAACGCTGCAACACTAGTATAAGGAACTCTCTTTACTCAGATTGTTTGCCTTTTGCCCTTTTACCCTCAACTGTTTAAGTGGGTATTTCCTAAGAATAAGGATAGCCTGTTACATAATTATACACAACACAGCGATCAAATTTAGAAAATGTAACCTTGCTATGGAATACTGTTCTCTAATCCATGGCCTATATTTAAATTTTATCAATTATCTCAACAATGCTCTTCATAGCCATCTTCACTCCCTCCACCTCTGCCCCCGATCACCCATAGCATTTAGTTATCATGTTGGTTTGGTCTCTCTTTTTTTAATATATTTTATTGATTTTCAACAGAGAGGAAGGGAGAGAGAGAGAGAAAGCTAGAAACTTCGATGAGAGAGAAACATCGACCAGCTGCCTCCTGCACACCCCCTAGTGGGAATGTGCCCGCAACTAATGTACATGCCCTTGACCGGAATTGAACCTGGGACCTTTCAGTCCGCAGACCTATGCTCTATCCACTGAGCCAAACCGGTTTCGGCTGGTTTAGTCTCTTTTAATCTGGAACATTTCCTCAGCCTTTCTCTGTCATTTTGGACCTCAATATTCATTGGGTTATAATGCATTACCGTTACTTTGATGTTTGAATTGTGCACATTTGCCCAAGGGAGCTTCTTTAAGCCAGTTCTGTGTCCCTCGGACATGTCACATCCTTCTTGGACCACTACCGTCCTCTCTTTACAGCAAGATGTTTACTCCCAAAGCCATGGCTCCCTTACTCAGGTGCACTGTACTCAAATCATAATTATACTGTAATTTTTATTACCTTCTTGCCCTTTTACTGCGCTCTATATAAGGATTTTCATATTTCATAAATATCCTTAGATCCACAATTGTTAAATCTTTTTAGAGTAATTCATGTACCATGTCTTGCCTGTGCCTTCTTTTCCCCTCTCTTCTCCTTCCCTGCTTATATATAGTTTAACTCCCAAAACCATTTTTAAGCCTTTACCTTCTTAGTTCCAGCAGCAGAAAGAAATTATTCTCTATACCAGTGGTTGGCAAACTCATTAGTCAACCGAGCCAAATATCAACAGTACAACGATTGAAATTTCTTTTGAGAGCCAAATTTTTTAAACTTAAACTTCTTCTAACACCAATTCTTCAAAATAGACTCGCTCAGGCCATGGTATTTTGTGGAAGAGCCATACTCAAGGGGCCAAAGAACCGCATGTGGCTCACAAGCCGCAGTTTGCCGACCACGACTCTATACAGTTGTGGTGGTTGTCCCCTCCCCAACCACTCTCCACGTCCCCCTTTTACTTGAGAAGCACACACAGTCTGAGGTCTAGGGAAGACAGTGCCAGCAGAGCCAGAATTGGGCTTGAGCAACTCTTGCTGATGGTGCCTAGTTTTTCCTCATTAGATGGCACAAGCTTCTTCTGGAAAATACCTTAAATTACATAGGCTGATTATGCCAGAACCGTTCACTAACATTTCCCCTCTTTTTTTCCCTAGAGCTGGTACTCAAGGTGAGGATTCAAAACCCATCTCTTCGAGAAAATGACTTCATTGAAATTGAACTGGACCGGCAGGAGCTCACCTACCAAGAATTGCTCAGAGTGAGTTGCTGTGAGCTGGGTGTTAATCCAGATCAAGTGGAGAAGATCAGAAAGTTACCCAACACCCTGGTAAGAAAGGTAAGGAAAGGCCTGTTCAGCATGAGTGGCTAGTTGCTTTCTGCATTTGGAAAATACCCAGTTTCCTCCTTGGTTATATGAGTCATAGCTGAGGAAATGAAAAGATAATAGAAAAGGAGAGAAAGGTGGTTTTCCAAATGTAATCATTGAGCTTTCTTTCCCTCTACTGGGTTTATAGGGACATTAGCCTTTTTGTTTTTTGTTGTTGTTGTTTTATGGCCTTTTGCAAGCTGTAGGATCCCAGAGAGAATTTTCTGAAGTACCATTCACATTTCCTTCAGTTGTTTCTGTGTGGCTCTACAGGGATTATCTTAGTGCACCATCAGAATGAGGTTAGATCACATGCAAACCCACATGGACACATGTGTGGTCCTCCCAGCATCCCTGGGTTTTCTGAGCATCAGCTCTGCTTCTCAGAGCACGTGGGTAAAACGGGTTCCTGCATTGCCTCTCCCTTCCAGGTGTGCTCTTCCTAGAGCAGCTGCTGCTAAGGGCTCCCACCATTCCTACCCAGCTCACACCCTGGGGCTTTCCTGCACTGTCACTGACAGCCTGCCAAAGGGTGGTGTTTTGTTTTTCTTTTAGGTTTTAAAATGAGCCAAGCTACTGATATCAAGTCAACACAGCATACCAAACCTAAAGAGACAAGTGGCTCCTTTTAATCTGATTAGCCTATTTTTCTTTTAGGACAAAGATGTTGCCCGACTCCAAGATTTCCAAGAGCTGGAACTGGTTCTAACAATAAGTGAAAATAGTTTTCTGTTCAGAAATGCTGCATCCACACTGACAGAAAGGCCTTGTTACAACAGGAGAGCTTCAAAACTGACTTACTGATGCCACAGGGACTTCTAACCCCGAGTATCGTGACAGTGCGTGCCACCTCTGGGCCAAGGACAAGCCATGGATCTCAACGCCTTGGATGCCGGGGGGCCGCTGGTGCCACTGAGTAGTGCACACTAACATTGTCCTGCCAAGGTAGGAAGCCCCTGACCCTCAAGCAGTGGTGCCACTCCTCCAAGCCTCTTGGTGCACAATAACCTATTGCTCAACGCTGTGAACGGTGGAGAAGTGGTCTGGAGAGGCAGTAGCGGCGGCTCTATACCCAGTGTGTTTTACGTGCAGCCGTAAGAGAGCGGTCCGCAGATGCTGAGAGTGGAGCCTATTTCTAGCCACTCCTGTTGACAGGGCACCTGAAGGGCCAGGATGCGCCTGGCGTGGTGTGGCATGCTCACCACTGTCCTGAAATGTGAACTGACTCGAGGCAAACAGGTGCTGGCAGCTGGGTTTTCGTGTGGCTTGTGGCAATGAGATTCCATATAACATAGTTATGTTACTCAGGTGAAAAGTATTAAGAACACAGTTACCTAATTGTAAATACGCTGTTAACCAAAAGAGCTTCCCCTCCCCCACTTTTTCCTTTGAAGACACTCATGACTCCTCTGTCTCCATTCGGCCATTGTCAATCCCTAGACAAGCTCCTCTGCATTCACTTCCCTCTGTGGTCACTAGAGGGCTCTCTGATGCCTTCCAAAAGAGCAGCCGCCTTTTTTTTTGGTTTTGTTTTGTTTTTTTCACTGAAGTGATTCCTGCCATCTCCGTGTTTAACTGCACCATATGAGAAGAGCACAAACATTGCCTGTCCATGTTCTCTACTTTCATTTTCCACTAGAAATGAAAAGCAATTTTTGAGACTGAATCTGTTGCTGTTTTAAAGGGTATTGTAGGAAACTGAGCTAAAGGAGCTAGCATATTTATTTTTGTATAAAAGATAAAGATTATTTTGAAATTATTAGGGTTTTTACACAATTCTGAAATCTGTTGCTTTTGTAAACAAATTGTTTTATCTTAGGGATCTTCTTACCCCCACCAATCCAATATCCCCAAAAAGGTAAAGTCTACCAGGCTTTGTTCTGGAAAAAAAAACAAAAAACAAACACACCTGATTCAACTCTTGAACATGGCATGATCATTTTTAGAAGAATGCATTCAAAGATTCTTTTCCTTCCCTTCAGTGTCGATGTGAATAGAAGCCACTGTCCGTGGACGCAAAGAGCTTAGGCTCGGAAAGGAGAAGGAGCACATAGACAGGAGAGCAGGGGCTGGCCGCCGGCTGTGGAGGGCACCCTGCTGTCCTAAGCAGCTTTCTCCCCATAGTGCCTATAGTTTCCAAAGAAACTTCCCTCCCCAGCTGTGTTAGCTTTACTCGATGGAGAGGGAATGTGGCAGGGAATGCGGTGCTAAGACAGCGGCCTCCTGCCGCCGCCCAACGCTGAGCTGAGGAAGAGGTGTTCGCAAGGCCAGCTTCGCGGCATCACTGCTCAGTGACCTGATGTATTTCGGCACTTACCGATGGCGACTTACCCTTGTACAGTGTTCGCATGGCAGAGTAAAGGTTACTTACTACTCCCTCTCTCTGAGGTACTTTAAAGTTTCAACCAATCAGAAGCTCGTTTGTCTAGACATACTAACCTTTCTCCCCCTTTCCTTTAAAAGAAGTTTAATGATAAGGTTAGTTCTGTCCTGAAAGAAATAAATTCAGTATTAATCCATGTCTAAATCACTGGGGTTAAACTTCCAGCCATCCAGACCAGTTAAGAGATTCAGAGCAGTGGAGGCCCTGGCGGGGGTGGCCTGCAGGGGCGCAGCCCCGGGCATTTCCAGGGCTTAGCAGGGAGGGAGTCCGGGCTGCGTCTCAGGTGAGAGGTGGGCCCTACACCGGTCTCTTCCCTAAAGTTCTCTGTGGTGCAGGGACCTCTACGTATGGCCACAGAATCAGACTGCACAGTTGCTGGTAGGTGAGTCTAACGTCTTAATCTATGCATTCAGAGAACTATTTTTATATGCTTTGTGTAATTTATAACAAAGGGTTTTCTTTTTAGCTCTGTTACTGTGAATCCCCTCCACCTCCACTGCATATTTAGAGCATGTGTTCATACTGTGGGCAAACATTCACTGAAGATAATTTTCTTTGTGCATTGCTGACTGTTCAAATATGACAAGTATTATTAAAATTAAACATTAAGTGACTGAGCCCATATTCTTTGATTTTTGGCTTCCTAAGCAGCACTTCTAGTCACAGGGGGTTAAAATGGTTGGATGGTCCCGGGGACAAGAGGCTCTGGAGGAAGAGGGGGAGGGACCGCTCCCTACCTGAGCCTCCTGCAGCCATCCTGCTGCTGCGGTGCTCACGCCCCCTCAGTGGCGCCTGGAGACAGATCTCTTGTGTCGAGTCCTCCCTCCCAGTTCTCAGCAGTCAGCTTCATTTCCCCGGAGTAGCTGAGCCAGCTAGCTGGAGGTCATCCTATTAGCTACATTTTTGATTATTCTATTTACCTCACACAACTGAGCCTCTCCTTGGGGCCGTCAGCACCTGTCTTGGCCTCAATGAGCTCAGAAGCAAGCTCCCTAGACAGGCGAGGGAATACAGCTTTACACCTTCATATCTTTCTCCTGAGAACGATGCTGAACGAACCTGCATTCCTGTAGGTTTAGGGCAGCTAGCTTCTCACAAAGCAGATGTCAAGCCAAATTGATCTAATAAATCAGGGCGCAGAGCAGAGACCTTTTCTTAGCACCGGGCAGAGGAAGAATAATATGGGCATTTGTGCTTTCATACTTGCTTTATCACAAGGATGGAAGTCTTCCTCCATACCCTCATAAACATCCTGAGCCAAAAGAGCCTGTCAAAAAAAAAACCATGGTTAACCTTTAACAAATGGTCCTGCAGCACAGGCTGCCCCATCACACAGCAAAACCATATCAAAGGAGGCATTTCCACACGCCTGCAGCCTAGTTAGGGTGGGGGAAGAAGACACACCGTCACCCGCAACCAGTCACATCTCACCAAGGATGAAGCTGGAGGAAATGAAAGAGGAGACCAGAGAACTTAGGAATGGAGAGAAGAGGTCCATTCCAAACACCAGGTCTTGTGTAGGTAAACTGACCCACAGCAAGCAGACGGCTGGTTTGCTCAAGAAAGCAAAATCCAGCCTCGTCTCCTTCACCAGCCCAGCGGGGACTGTCAGGGCCGCCTGCGCTCCTCCCACTCTCGGCGTCAGCCCGACGGAGGAAGACGGATGACTCCGAGCCTCAGTGGCTATGGAGGCCTGTCTGGAACGGACTTCTGAAGGAGTGAGGGAATGAAGTGCCAGGCACTTTGCAGCCCCTAGAGAGGCAGGCGTACAGGTCTGAGGGATGACATAAACGCGGAGGTGTTCCCAGCAGCTGTCCCAAGAGGCCTCAGGTCAGATTGCAGGGACTTCATCGCTCACCTTTTTATAGTCTCTGCACAGCAGAGCGGGACCTTCTGGCAAGTTCCCAGTGCATTTTGGCTGTGAAGACAATATTTCTAGCCCAAAGCTCTTGGGTCTGAAGTCTTCAGATGGTTCCAGCCATGCAGATGTATAATAAATCCACCTCCGCCTCTCCCCCTTCCTCCCTACCTCCTTCCAGGGTCCTAACCCCCACACCTGTGGCCAGGAGGAGCCAGCCTGCCCCGGGGTGTGTGTGTGTAAGGGGCCACGCCGCTTCACTTCCCCGCTGCTCCATTTTTAACGGATTCAGGCCAGCACTCCAGAGTACAGGACTCCGTTCTTAGGGACAGCCTGACCTGGCAATCTTGTTTCAAGAGAAAAAAAGCTTTATTTAAAAAAAACAAAAACAAAAACAAAAAGACTTCAGAATAGAAAATAGGAACAGTCATCTGGGGAGGTTGCTCCATGCAGTGATTGCAAGCAGCATCGTGGGTACGTAACAGGAGACTGGGAATCAGGCGATCGGGGACCAGTCTGGGTTCTGCCTCAAACCGTCCGTGACCCTGGGCGCGTCGGGCGCCCCTGGAGCCTCACTCCCTCTTTGAAAGCATTGAGCACGGACACCCGTGGAACGCTTCATAGGAGCAAACATGGAACAAATGCCCCCAGCCCCCAGGTTTATTCTGCTGACGTGTCTGGTGTCCTTTTCCTTTCTGGAGAAAACCAGGTCAGCCGGGAGGAAATCCCAGGCATGTGTATGTTAGGCAAGACCAGCGTCTCTGGCCATCCCGTAGAAGATGCCTCTGGCTGCGATGAGGTTGGTTGGAGAGTCAAATTCAGCCACTGTCCCTTTGTCCAGGACCAGGACCCTAGCCAAAAAAAACGAGGTGGTCAGGTCTCCACCAGCCCAGACCGGGCCTCGTGGTCCGACCCCGCCCTTCAGGCCCCGCAGTGACATGCCAACCCTCCGGCTCCCGCCAGCCCGCCCGGCACAGCCGCTACACCACATGTGCACACTTGCAAGGCGGGCTATTTTAGCCGCTCCGTTTGCTCTCCTGGCAGACGAGGCGGTTTCTGGGATAAAACACCAGCTTCCTATTCATCTCTGTGGGTCGGGGCTCCGAAAGCCTTCCCTAATGAGCCTTTCTCCCGGCCAGGGTCACAGGACCGTGCGTGGGGGAGCCACGGGCCTGAGCGCCGGGCCCTGTGTGCTTCCATCTGCTTTGTGCCGGCTCACAAAGGCACACGGCGGGAAGCCGGGCTGCAGTGAGCCCGGACACTGGAATCTGGGGCTCCGGCTGCAAACCTGCCTGCTGCTGAGGGCGGAGCTCCCCCACCCACCCACACACAGTCAGGCCTCGGCCTGGGACAGATAATCACCGGGTGCACCTGGTGCAGGGCCAACAGGCTGGCTCCCAGGGTGAGGCAGGAGTGGAGAGGGCTCTCCCAAGCCTGGGGAGATGCCCCTGGATGGGAGGGCGTAGAACATACTCTGTTTCCCCACCCACGGAATGCCCAGAAACATGTCCTGGGAAGGAGTGTGTCTGTGGTCGTCACTGCCTGGGACTGCCCTCTCCCTTCTCTTTTCCCGGTGGGGTCCTGGGTGGGAGTGGGGAGTAGGGTGGGGCAGGGATGGAACAGACAGAACACAGCATAGTGCATTCTCAGCTTGGTGCCCTAGCGCCTGGGGCCGTGTGGGGACACTTCTGACACAGGGACAACAGCTGCCCACTGCCCTGTCCACGGCACTATCTCCAGCTCCCCGTGCCCTGTGGGTGTTCAATTTGTGAACGAAGGTCTGGCGATGTGCTCTCATCACCCTCCTTTGCCATAGATGTGGGGCCGGGTCCTGCCTCCTCGACTGCAAACTGAGCTCCCAGGCCTCCACGGGGCCAGCCTGCTGGGCCGGCGCGGCTCACTTCCATGAGGCGCCTGAGTCACCCAGCCCTGCCCCTTGTCCTCGGCACCGCACTCTGACACCGGGCACCACGAGGGACTAGGTCACGGTCTCTCTTCTTGGCCCAGCGAGCTGCTCTCCGAAGAAGCCATAGGCTCCAAGGACAAGGCCACTTGCCTCGTCCTCAGAGGACACGGGACTCGGGAGAATTCCGGGAAGGAGCTGGGGAGGAGAGGAACATTCCCCAGGATCTCCTGCGCTCGGGATGCTTCACGGCATTGGCTCTTACTCTAGCCCTGAGGGACTGAGGTTCAGGAAGGTTCATCTAATTGCCCAAGGTCACACCTCTCTCCCGTGCCCAGATAACCTTCCCACTGGCCTAGGGGACCCCGCCAGCCCCTCCCTGCTCGGGTCCCAGCGCCCCACCTGGTGTAGTCCATGATGGTGTTGAGCCGGTGCGCGATGGTCAGCACTGTGCAGCTCTCAAACTGGGTGCGGATGGTGGCCTGGATGAGGTCGTCAGTCTCCAGATCGATGGCGGCCGTGGCCTCGTCTAACACCAGGATTCGGCTCTTGCGAAGAAGGGCTCGGGCCAGGCACACCAGCTGCCGCTGACCCACACTGGCACGGGGAAGGCAGACATTACCAACTGGGGACCCCCACTCTGCCCCCAGGCCTCATTCTCTAAACGGCTCCTGTCCCTCCTCTCCTTCCCAATGGCCCAGGACTAACCTCTTTCCTTTCTACCTCAGCCCTGACCTTCTCCTGGATGGGGAGTCGGGGTTGAGGTCTGGATGCCAGAGGTTTAATGTGGGGCCTCGAGGATAGAGCTCAGCAACACTAACATCTCCAGTCTGTCTCTGGCACCTGGGCACTTCTTTCTTTGCCTTCTTCCTCCTCCTCCCTCCTCAACTAGTGGCACGATGTTTCTCTGCTTCACTCTATCAGTCATTTACACCTTAGTAAGAAATACTCAGATCTCTCTCTCTCTCTCTCTCTCTGGATGCTTGCCCACAGATGCCATCCTGCTGACCCTCATATCACACAATGCAGAGAGCCTCTCCTGCCCCCATGGGAAACACAGGCCAGGGCTGTGGGAACGAGGAAGGAGAAGGACAGGGCAGGACCCGAGGGACTCCCTGTGTCTGGTCGCTGGGGAGCAGGAGGAGGGGCAGGATGCATACCTTCCACCTCTCTCCTTGGAAGCCTGGGCCAGTGAACAAAGCGGGGCTGTGTTCCCAACCACGGAGGCTGCAGCACCCCCACACCCAAGGACAAATACCGCAGCCCTTCCCAATGGGGTGAGTCACCGCAGCTCCAGCGAAGGCCAGGCTCCCTCCCTGGCCCATTCCCACAACTAATGACGGTTTTGGCAGCAGCACCAGCCGCCAGATAGAACTCGGGACTGATTGATGGTGGGACTGGCACAGGACACAGGTTATGCTCAAAGCAGAGGCACGCTCAGAGAGGGAGGTGGGAGCCCATCTCTGTCTGAGTCCTGATGGACGTGGGGATGGAGGGGAAGCTGAGGGGAGGTGCTGATGGCAAGCAGGAATGGGAGAACGGGCCAAAAAAACAACTCGGGGGCGCGGGGTCTGGAAGCTGCGGCTTGCCTGCCAGCTGTGCCCAGCACTGCTGTCTGAGTGAAATCCCGTTAAAATGCAGTCTCCCTAGGCTGCCTGTGGAGGCAGGGACTTCCCGTGGGTGGCTATAATGCACCAGCAACAACAAAGGTTTGGGGCGAAAGCCCTCACTCTCCTGAGTTCCTGCAATGCAAATCATCTTATTCTTTGGAGCCAGAGGGCTGCAGGCAAGATTCAGTGAGAGAGTGGAGCAACACTAAGTGCTGAGCAAATGTAAAGGTTTCTGTTTCAGGTTTTGAGGTCTGGAGAGAGTCCAATGGTGTCGGAAAAGTAGAATAATAAGAATAGGAAGAGCTAGCCCTGGCTGGTTTGGCTCAGTGAATAGAGCACCAGACTGTGGACTGAAAGATCCAGGGTTCAATTCCCTTCAAGGGCACATGCCCGGGTTGTGGGCTTGATCCCCACTGGGGGGCAAGCAGGAGGCAGCTGATCATTGATTCTCTGTCATCATTGATGTTTCTATCTCTCTCTCTCCCTCTCCCTTTCTCTCTGAAATCAGTAAAAATATATTTTTTTAAAAATGAATAAGAATAGCCGAAACTGGTTTGGCTCAGTGGATAGAGCATCGGCCTGTGGATTGAAGGGTCCCAGGTTCGGTTCTGGTCAAGGGCATGTACATTGGTTGAGGGCACATCCCCAGTAGGGGGTGTGCAGGAGGTAGCTGGCCGATGTTTCTCTCTCATTGATGTTTCTAGCTCTCTATTCCTCTCTTTTCCTCTCTGTAAAAAATCAATAAAATATATTTTTAAAAAATAAATAAAAATAAAAAAGAATAAGAATAGCTAAATTCCTCAGGGGTGTATATAGGCTAAGCACAGTCTAATCACAGTGACCCTGAGGTTGCTCTGTCCAAATGAAAGCTGTTGGCCTCCTGAGGCTGTTGAGCACTTGAATTATGGCAAGTCTGAAGTGGGATGTGCCATACATGTGAAAACACACATAGGATTTCCAACTTAGTAAGAAAACATATAAAATATACCCTAGTCACTTTCATGTCAATTACATGTTGAAAAGGTAATATTTTTTACATATCAAGCTAAATAAAATACACTATTAAAACTTAGTTCACCTGTTTCCTTTTCCTCTTCTTACTGTGGCTACTAGAAAAAATTTTAACTATGCACACGGGGCTTACATGATATTTTTATTGGGCAGGATGGTGCAAAGAGGTATGGGACTGTTGTCATTTCTATTTTAGCGTGGGAGAAAAGGACGCACAGAAAGGTTAAGCGACTTGCCCGAAATCACACAGCTAGCACAGGTATGGGATTCTCAAGCCTTTAGACTCAGTAAGAGGAGATTTGTGGCCCTCCTTGCTGCACAGCCCAGTGGCTGGGGATATAAAATCTAGGGCTATAACGAAGCAAAGAAGGAGCTCACTTTCCTAAATTACAGACGAGACTGCATCCATCTGGGGAAATATGATTTGCCTAATGCCCTCTAGGTGTCCTCTCACCTGCTCCACAAGTTCAGTCCACACCCCGTCTCCCCACTCCCCCGGCCAGTATGGCATTGAAAACCTACAGGACACGACTGAATAGGGCTTTGGAATCTCCAAGACCTGGTTCAAATCCCAGGTCTGCCCCAGTTTCCTTCCAAGAGGGACCATGGACCACCTCTGGGGCTGATGGGAGGAGACAGTGAGAGGGTGCCTGCCTGGCACACAAAATATGCTCAAGACAAGCAACGCCCCGGAGGCACTCAGGCTGAGATGGGAGTGGGGGCGGCGGGCGAAGGGGGCCGTTACCTGAGGTTCTCCCCTCCCTCGGAGCACTGGAAGTTCAGGCCTGCGGGCTGCGAGCTCACAAATGATTTCAGATGGGACAGCTCCAAGGCCCGCCATATGTCTTCCTCCGAAGAATTGCTGAAGGGGTCTAGGTTCATACGCAGGGTCCCCGAGAACAGGATGGGGTCCTGGGAACACAACAAGGTCTTAGAGGGAGGTGGCTTGGACCCCACAAGGAGCAAGCAGGAGTAAAAAAAAAAGGGGGATTTGAGGTGGCAGCATCCTGTCCCCCCCACCTCCCCTGTCCGCAGCCCTCCAGGAGGGAGGCAGTGGCCACGGAGACAGAAAATGCCTGTGGGGAAGTGATAAACCCCAGCTTTGCCCATCACTAAGTCCTCGGCTAAAGCGGGGACCCAAGCGCTAATCTGGCTCCGAAGTGTCCGGTCAGCAGAAAAACACCCGAGGGGAGCTAAAAGAGGGAAATGTCATTTAGAGCTGAGAAAACAGGAAGCTGGGACAGAACATCTCGGAATCAAAATGCTGGAAGTAGCCCTAGGGTCCTGGCCCCATTTGCTGGCCCAGAAGGTTGCAACACAGGGTCTGATGGGGCCGGGGCCCCCCTGACCCTCCCGGATCCACAACAGGTGGCCGCTCTGTGGCTCTGCTCCTGCTGAGTGGCTCTCCAGCCTTAAGGTCCGGTCTTGCCTTGCGGAGCAGGGTAACTGGCCAGTGTGGCCCGTCCACGCCCGGTGCGTACCTGGGGGATGATGGTCAGCTGAGAACGCAGGTCATGGAGCCCGATGTCGGCCACGTTGAGCCCGTCGATGCGGATTTCGCCCCCCGCGGCCTCCAGGAGGCGGAACAGGCTGAGGGTCATGGATGACTTGCCAGCCCCCGTGCGGCCCACGATTCCCACCTGGAGGGAGGCCCAGGGGTCAGTGGGGACAGCTCCTGGACTCCCCAGGGGAGGCCAGCAGACAGCTGGGATGGAGCACCCCCTCTTTTCCCCACGAGGGGTACAGTCCCGTCCCAGCACGAGACCCCCCCCAGGCGCACCTTCTCGCCACCGCGCACGCGCAGACTCAGGTCCTTCAGCACCAGGTCCAGGCCGGGCCGGTAGCGCACGGAGTAATTCCGGAACTCCACCTCGCCCTTCGTGGGCCAGCCTGCAGGAGGGCGGCTGCCCTCCACCACCCAGGGCGCCTGGCAGAGGGGAAGAGGAAGAAGAGTGCAGGTCACACAGCAGGAAGCCAGCCTTGCCTGGAGGCAGGGGAAGCCAGGCTGTCAAAAAGGCAGAGCAGCCCTGGCTGGTGTTGGTCAGTTGGTTGAGGGTTGTCCTGTGCACCAAAAGGTCGCCGGTTTGATTCCTGGTCAGGGCACACACTCAGGATTCCGGCTTGATCCCCAGTATGTTTCGTGCAGAAGGCAACCAATTGATGTTCCTCTCTCCCTCTCCCCCTCCATCTGTTCCTCCCAGCGAAGACCTCTTGTTGATGCTCCATCAGGACTGAATGAATAAATGAACCCATAAAGAGCCACCTGAACAGCTGGCTTTGGAGCTATAGGGATGGTGGGCTACTGAGCACCCTTCTCCAGCTCTTCCAGACTCCCCCACCCCAGGTTCGTCCCAGCACCCACCTCGGTCTCCGTCTTGGAGTACTCCTTGACTCTCTCCACAGCCACAATATTCGTCTCCAAGTCTGATAACATCCGTATCATCCAGTTCAGAGAAAACGTCACCTGGCCAAAGGGACTGGGTCATGAATAGGGTGATCTCTCTCTCCCCTGCCCCCCTGCAGTGGCTTTGGGAGGAGTTCCTCTCCCATCAATGACCCCGGTGGGCCCGGGCCAGTCCATAGGGTGTGCCGCCTAGGGCTCTAGTCACCACTGCAGCGCTGACCGTGACAACGCAGACTTAACCAAGGGGCTGCGGGGCTAGCGTTTCCCAAGCTTTACTATGTATAAGCCCGCTTCCCAGAGGACCTTGCTTCGGAGCCAGCGGGTGTGGGGAGGAGATCCTGCGTTTCTAACAAGCTCCCGGACGATGCTGCCACAACTGGTCCTGGGACCAGACTCTGTGCGGCAAGGAGTCTTGATAGACACGCAGGATCCCTAGCCCCATCCTGGCCGACTTAGAGCAGAATCCGCATTCTGCAAGATCTCCAGGTGACTCAGCTGCCCAGGACAGTGTGAGAAGAATGTGATTTGCTTCCCAAAGTTCCAGTTGCCAGCGGTGACCTGCCCAACCCCCATCCAGTCCAGGGCCTTTCCCTGCAGGCATGGGAAAGGAGGGGTCTCCCAGCCCTATCCCCAGGAGCCGTCAGGGCCTCGGGCCTCCTAGACCGTGTGCTCAGGCAGGACCAGTTCTGTGGGTGGTTCGGGGCCACGTGCCAAGATAAAGTCTCCAGCACCCCGAGGTGGAGCATCTCCGCCGGCTCTTAGAACATGTTGTTCCTCCCTCCACCAAGGCCGGCTCCCCCAGCAGCACCAGCCCCTGCTGGGGGGAGTGGCTCTCCACGCTTGCCTGGAGCTCACCACCCTGTGAGGGGAACCTGGGGCTGGTCCCCACATGGGCAGAGCGAGGCGGCGCTCGGGAGATGCCCGTGGCACCTGTGTGGCCCTGCCCTGAGCCCGGAGCCCTGCATGCCTACCTGTAGGGCGTAGGACACAGAAAGGCCCACCATCCCCGGACTCAGGCTGCTCCTCCCAATCACAGCGAAGAGTGCAGCAAAGAACACGACAAGGTTCCCCATGAACTCCACTCGGACCCCCAGCCACCTGCAAGGATCGGACAAGGAGGAATTGGGGCAGAAGCAGGGGCGGATGGGGGGGGCAGGTTTCTGCTTAGGGGGAGGGAGGGGCTGGGCCCCGGGACACTGCAGAGGCCCCGGAGGGAGCTGCTGGAGGGGCGGGGTGGGGGGGAGGCTCGGACCTGTTGGAGGAGATGCTGGGGTAGCAGCTCCTCTGGTTGGTGTCCACCTTGGCATCGCTGATGGCCTCAAAGGCCTGGCTGCGGCCGTAGGCCCGGATGACGCTGGAGCCCGTCACCGTCTCCGAGAAGTGCGAGTACACGGGCGAGCGGCTCACAGACTCCAGCCGCTTCAGCTGCCGCGAGGTGGCCACGTAGAAGCGCTGACGGGGGATGGGGAAAGAGCTCGGGGTGAGGACTATGGAGCCCCAACTCAGCCCTGTGTACCCTCTGAAGCATCAACGATGTCTCTCTCTCTCTCTCTCTCCCTCTCTCTCTCTCTCTCTCTCTCTCTCTCTCCCCCCCTTCTTCTCTGAAATCGATAAAAACATATTTAAAAAACCCACAAACAATAAGAAAAAAACCCCATCCATATACACATACGTTTAGAAATGTATAAAACCAAGGGAAGGATAATATGTCTCAAACTGTTAGCAATATTTTATTTTTATTTATTTATTTTTAAATATATTTTGTTGATTTTCTTTACAGAGAGGAAGGGAGAGGGATAGAGAGTTAGAAACATCGATGAGAGAGAAACATTGATCAGCTGCCTCCTGCACCCTCGCCCCCCACTGGGGATGTCCCCGCAACCAAGGTACATGCCCTTGACCAGAATCAAACCCGGGACCTTATAGTCCGCAGGCTGACGCTCTATCCAATGAGCCAAGCCGGTTTCGGCGGCAATATTTTATTTTAAAAATAGCCAGCAGGAACGCGTTCTGGGGCCAGTCACAATTTACAAGGATTTCATTTGATCCCTGCAACAACCCTACCAGGCAGGGTCTGTGATCCTACGTTTACAGGCGAGGAAAACAAGTGGCAACGAGAGGAAGGAACAGACTACATCCCAACCAAAGCCAGCTGTGACCCTGGGTTCTGCCTTCCCTGCGCCTGGCCTGGCCTGGGTCCTCAGCCCTCACAAAGCCCCACCCACTCAAGCGCCCGCCCTCCTGACAGCCATGCCTCTGCCCCCCTTTCCCCTCCCCCGCCCTCCCTGCCCCCACCCTGCCCTCCCTGAGCACCTGCACCAAGATGTAGAAGGCAGCCAGAGGCAGGGTGACCACGGCGAAGAGCGGCGTGCTGGCCACGATGACCACGAGGGTGGAGATGGAGGTGTAGAAGGAGCTCAGCAGCATGAGGATGGTGGGGGCCAGGGCCTCGTCGATGACACAGATGTCCTTGGAGAAGCGGTTGAGGATGCGGCCGGACGGGGTGGTGTCGAAGAAGGACTGCGGCGAGCGCATCTTGTTGTGCAGCAGCGTCTGGTGGAGCAAGCGCGCAGCCCGGACGCAGCCCACGGCCATCATGATGGACGACAGCACCACCAGGAGCCCTGCGGGAGGCGGCAGAGGGGCGCTCACTCCCCTGGGCCTGGGGGCGGGATTGCAGGGAGGGGCTAGGCGGGCTCAGAGGCAGGTGGACGCTAGAGCGGGTGAGGGAGGTATTGGGGCTGGGCCATGGCTGTGACGGTGGAGGGAAGGGCATGGTGTGGGGCCGTGGTTGGCAAACTGGGGCTCCAGAGCCAGATGTGGCTCTCTGGCCCCTGGAGTGTGGCTCTTCCACAAAATACCACGGCCTGGACGAGTCTATTTTGAAGAAGTGGAGTTAGAAGAAGTTTAAGTTAAAAAAAAAAAATTGGCTCTCCAAAGAGATTTCAATCGTTGTACTGTTGGTAGTTGGCTCTGTGGACTAAGGGAGTTTGCCGACCACTGGATTGGGGGACCCTGTAGCTCAGGGGTGAGAAAGCGGGGGGGGGACTCCTGGAGTCCCTTCCCGGTAATCTCTGCAGGCTCACCTTGCAGAATGCCCAAGGTGGCATAGACACCCAGCCTCTGGGTAGTGCTGTTCCGTCGGCCATCCTCCGTGGCCTCGTTGGTCCAGGCGCTGAGCCACATGTTGGCGCCGATGGCAGCTGCGCTTTGCCCCGCGTACAGCAGACAGATGACCAGCGTGGTGCAGAGCCCCACAGCCCGGGCGTAATCCCAGAACACGCTCAGCTTCACCTGCACGGCCGCGGGGGTCAGGGACAGAGGATGCCTGTGAGCCCCAGGAGGGATGCTGGGGACCCGCCCATCCTCCCCGGGCCCTCCCTGTCCATCCTGCTCACCTTGCCCGTCTCCATCTTCTCCTCTTCAATCAGCGTCCCGTTTGCCTTCGCCTCTGCCGCCTGCGCTAGCTTTTCTGCCGGCCCCAGGCGCCGCCGGGGCACAGGCCGGCCCTGGCCCTCCCCCTCCGAGGACATGGTACTCAGCTGTCTGTGGAGGCAGCTGGTCAGGCCCCGAGAGAAGGCCTCTGACTCACCCACAGGACAGAGCCCCAGGAGGAGGGGGCGGGCAGCCGCAGAGGCCCAGGGTGTGTGTCGGGGAGGATGCCCATCCACCTGTACCCCCCCTGGCAGGGCTCGGGGAGCCCGGACCCAGCGTCCCAGGAGGCCTCGCGCTCCCGGGAGCTCACCTCATAAACTGCTTCTGGACCTCATAGAGGACCGGCTCGTTGTCCATCAGGTCTGTGTGGCTGCTGAGCGTGTCTTCAATCAGCAGCACCTCCTCATCGTCCGCCTCCTCCAAGGCTGCTGCTGTGGGGGAGGAAGGAGACAGAGGTCTGCTAGCTCCCTACCGGGCCCATCTCCACTTCAAGGAAGGAGCCTGAATGGCAAGCCTGAGCTCAGGAAGACGAGAGGGGTTGAAAGGGCAGCCAAGAACAAGAACGACAGAAATAAGTGACCGATTCTGTGTTGGAAAAGGAAAAGGGCAGCAAGAAAGACGTAGCTGAGGCCGGAGGGGAAACTCCCCCCTCAGGGGCTGTGGAGAAAGGGACTCCAATGTGAGGGTTAGGAGCGTGGGCTGTGGAGTCAGACTGGCTGCGCTTCCTTCCATCCTCCCTGCCTGGCTTTCGGCAGGCATGGGAGACGGGATAATAATAGTACCCACTTCATCATGTCGTCGTGAGAACTAAAGGAATAGATGTGTGTCAAGTGCTTAGCAAGGGGCAGAGCCCGCAGGGACTGCTCACGGCGTGTGAACGGCACACACAGCAGCAGGCAGGAAAACCCTGGGGGAGGCCGGTGAGCCAGCCCGGATTTTGGGGTTGGGGAGCTGAGACTGGACGACAGGGGGCGAGGATCAGGGTGTGCCATGAGCCCTGGGACTTCAGTATGTTTGATGAGGCCCTGGCCGGTTTGGCTCAATGGATAGAGCATTGGCCTGGGGACTGAAGGGTCCCAGGTTCGATTCCAGTCAAGGACATGAATCTTGGTTACAGGCACATCCTCAGTGGGGGTTGTGGAAGAGGCAGCTAATTGATGTTTCTAACTTTCTATCCCTCTCCCTTCCTCTCTGTAACCCCCCCTCCAAAAAAAAACCAAAAAAAAAAACCCTCAATAAAAGATATTTTAAAAACATTCAATGAGGACAGGAATTTTTCTATTTGTTTACTGTTATCCCTCAGTGTCTAGAATCGGGCCCGGCCTTAGTCATTGCTCAATAAATACGTGTCCATAAATAAATGACATAGGCACCAAACCATGGATCCAGGAAACAGCCTGGGCCCTATGCCCCTTTGACACCTGGGAAAACAGAGGCTCTGAGGGCGCCCAGTTAGGGAAGGGGAAGAGGAGGGACGGGACGTCCGGTTCCCTTTCCCTCCTGGTGATGTCTGACCATCACACAGTGGGTCCTCGTTCCCGGAACCTCCCTTGCACAGCATCGGGCCCGTCCACAGACCCTCAGAGACCCCGAGCCGGGGGTGAGTGGGGGTGCTGGGAGGGTACAGGGAAAGGGAGGGCCAGGGGTACCGGTCCTGCTGTTCTCCTCCAGACACTCCTCGCCCTCATCCGGCGCGTAGTTGTGCAGGAAGTTGGCAAAGGAGCCGTTGCGCTGCAGGAGGGCTGGGTACGTGCCCACCTCCGACACCTGTCCATCGGCGAGCACGACGACGAAGTCTGTCTGGGGCAGGAAGCTGATGCCGTGGGTCACCAGCACCCGCGTCTGGGGAGAAGGCAGGGGCCATCACTCCCACAGCCCTCAGCACTCCCCCCCCCCCACCCCCAACCACAGGCACAGGGCCCCGGTGTGAGGGTGAGGTACCCATGTGCCAGGGAGCCGGGGCAGACACATCGGGGACTCACCCCGTGCTCACCACAGCCGGCTCTGTGCCTTTGGGCTGTGAACTCCCATCCCACACTCCTGCTTCTCACATTCCTGCGCCTCCAAGTCTCACCCAAACCCCTTGGCCTCCACCAGATCTCGCCTCAGCCCCTCAGCCTCCCGGAGCCCTCACCTTGCCGGCCAGCATGCCTTCCGGCCCGACGACCTTGTCAAAGATGTGTTTGGCCACGTGGGAGTCCACGGCTGACAGCGGGTCATCCAGCAAATAAATGTCAGCATCGCTGTAAACGGCTCGGGCCAGGCTGACCCGCTGCCGCTGGCCCCCAGACAAGTTGATGCCCTGGATGGGGGAGAGAGGAGGGAGGTGGGTCCCGGGAGGAAGGGGGTCAGAACAAGGGCCCTCATAATCAATAAAATTAAAAAATAGATAAATAAATAAAAAGTAAAAATAAATAAATAAATAAAAGAGCTCTGAACAATAAAACCATAATTCTTCTTAATTCATATAGGGAGAAACAAGAGAAACAAGAAGGCAAGTAAATTGCTGAGTTACCTGTCCAACTAAGAGTTAGAGAGCCCTAACTGGTTTGGCTCAGTGGATAGAGCATCGGCCTGCAGACTGAAGGATCCCAGGTTTAATTATGGTCAAGGGCATGTACCTTGGTTGTGGGCACGTCCCCAGGAAGGAGTGTGCAGGAGGCAGCTGATTTATGTTTCTCTCTCATCGATGTTTCTAACTCTCTATCCCTCTCCATTCCTCTCTGTAAAAAATCAATAAAATACTATATTAAAAAAAAAAAAAAAAGAAAAAGAAAGAAAGAAAAAAGAACAAGGGCCCTGTCCATTGTCGTTTAGCAAGGCACACCTCTGAATTCACATTTCACCTGCCGGGTCCTGTCTCCGTGAAGCTGTGAGGTCACGAAGAAAGGGTGGTGGCTCTCGGAGTCCTCCTGGGACACGCGAGGACATCCTGCCTCCCTTGCTCCATCACCCTGCCCAACTGGTTCCCTCCTGCCGCCCTCCGGCTCTGGGAGCTGGAAATCCCCAGGCGGTCCCTAGTGGACCTTTGACTCTTCTGTCACCCAGACAGTTTGCAGGTGATTTTCATAACAATGAGCTCATTTGGTCCTCACAGTCATTCCTTCCAGGGAGGGGCTGTTAGCTCCACTTTCTAGATGGAGAAATGAAAGCCCAAGGTGGTAATGACTTTGTTCCTGAACAATGAAGGTCAGAAGCAAAGATGGAAACCCAGCATCAACATCAGAATTCATCAACTCTGACACCATTCAGGTGCCAGAGGGGAGGTAAGATCTCTCCTTAAACCCAGGAGGGGGAAACTGATGCAGACAGCAGCCAGGTTGGGCCCAGAGGGCAGACCCCAGGGGACAGCCTGCTTTCCTCCCATCAGCTTTCCTCATCCTTCCAGCCCGGCTCTTAGGGGTACCCCGAGAAACTGAGGCAAGCAGGTGTTGGATGGGAGCTGGAGGGGAGCATCAGGTGCAGTGACTGAGGCATGTGAGAATGCCTGCACTCAACCAACCAGTCTTTCCTGAGTGTCTACTATGTGCTGGGCCCTAAATCAGGTTTGTGTGGGGGGAGGTCAGAGTGGGTCCAAACGAGATAGGAAGGAGGAGCTGTGTCAGAGAGGAGGAGGTCTTCCTTGAACTCCTACTTTCCTATCCCCTCTGCTCAGGCTCATTTCTCCAAACCACCAGGAGGGCCTTCTCACTGGGCCCTGTGCCTTTGGGTCCCAGGCAGACTAGCTTTTCATCTGTCCCAACTTAAACCCTTCATTCAAAACGTGAATATCAAGACAAAATAATGAGCCCTGGCCAATATTCTCAGTGGCCAATATTCTCAGTGGTTTGGGGGCTGAGCATCAGCCCCCAAACAAAAGGGTCACAGGTTTGATTCCCGGTTAAGGGCAGGTTCAATCTCTGGCCCCAGTTGGAGTGGATGCAGGAGGCAACCAATCCATGTCTCTCTCACATCAATGTTTCTCTCTCTCTCCCTCCTGCCTACTCCCTTCTACTCTCAATAAAAGTCAATGGGAAAATATCCTGGGGTGAGGATTTAAAAAATAATAACAACAACAAGTGCTGGCCGTTGTGGTTCAATTGGTTGGGCATTGTCCTGTGCACTGTGAGGTTGCCAGTTTGATTCCTGGTCAGGGAAGATGCCCAGGTTTCAGGCTCATTCCCTAGTCAGGGGCATGCAGAAGGCAACTGATAGATGTCTCACTCTCACATCAATGTTTCTCTCTCTCTCTCCATCTCCTTCCTCTCTCTCTAAGGGATCAATAATTTAAAAAGAAAAAAAGATAAATAACAATGATACTGGATTATAATCCATTGGATCAAATAAGAATCTTGACCCCATATTGATATAAATAAATTAATGAAAAGTAAAAAAGACAAAGGAGGAGAAAGCTTTTTATTAGAGTCAAATGCCAACTAATAACTATAGAATGAATGGAGCTAGAAAGTTAGTATTTGGCAAACATCATAGTAAACACTGACTCAGGTGAGAATCATCAGTGAAAGTTTTGAAATAAAATGATCAATGAAAAGACATGCCTTCAGTCAAGTGATCAAAGTTAACACTGTTAATAAGTAGACATCACATGCCTCCTAATATGGTGTACCAAGGAGGACATAATATTACTCCTTTAGTAATTCCCCCAAAAATATACAATCTGCATCTACCTGTGTTCAAATTGAGAGACATTCTACAAAATACTGGCCTATACTTTTCCGAATTGTCAAGGTTCTAAAAGACAAAGACTGAGGAATCATCCAGATTGATAGAGAATAGAGAGATATGACAAGTAAATGCAATTCATGATCCCGGATTAGATCCTAGCCCAGGAAAGAAAATAGCTAAAAAAAGACATTTCTGGGACAAATGATGACATTTGAGTACAGACTGTGAGTTAGATAGTAATATTATATCAATGTTAAAATTTCTGGATTTTGGTCATTCATCAATGGTTATATAAGAGAATGCCACTGTTGTGAGGAAATATAGGCTCAAATCTTTAGTATTAAAAACAAAACAAAAGAGTGCCTGGCCAGTGTAGCTCAGTGGATTGGGCGTTGATCCATAAACCAAGAATTCACTGGTTCACTTCCCAGTTCCTGGTCAGGGCACATGTTCAGGTTGTGGGCTCAGTCCCCAGTGGGGGGCCTGCAGGAGGCAGCCGATCGATGATTCTCTCTCATCATTTTTGTTTCTATCTCTTTCTCCCCCCCCTTCTTCTCTGAAATCAATAAAAATACATTTCTTTAAAAAGAGTTAAAACTCTTAGAAGAAAGCATAGGGGAAAGTTTCATGACATTGGATTTGGCCATGATTCTAGAATATGACACCAAAAGCATGGGTAACAAAAGTAAAAATAGATAAGTTGGATTATTAAAACTAAAAATTAAAAACTCTGTGTGAAAAGACACAACAGAATGAAAAGGCAACCCACAGAAGAAAGTATTTGTAACTCATATATCTGATAAGGGGCTAAAATCCAGTACAGTAAGTCCTCTCTTATTGTAAGTCACTATGACTTTAAATTAAATAACATATGATGAAACCAATTGATATAATCAATGTAAATAAGTGCTAAGTTCCTACAGGATGTCATTATGTCATAACAAAATAACATTGAATGAAATAGTATTATTTGGGGACCCTCCTGTATACATAATGAGCTCCTATTATGAGCTCCTTCAACAAACGAACAACTTGATCAAAAAAATGGGCAGAGGACTCAAACAGACATTTTTCCAAAGAAGATACACAAATGTCCAATAAGCACATGAAAAGATGCTCTACATCACCACACCCCAGTAGAATGGCTACCACCAAAAACCAAACACAACCCCTCTCCCTCCCAAAAGCCACAAGTGCTGGCCAGGATAGGAGGTGGAATCCTTGTGCACTGTTGGTGGGAATGTAAAATGGTGCAGCCACTATGGAAACGATAGCAGTTTCTCAAAAAAAAAAAAAAAAAAAAAAAAAAAGAATTATCATATTATCTAGCAATTCCACTTCCAGGAAATAATCAAAAGAACTGAAGGAAGGTTCTCAAAGAGATATCTGCACACCCATCTTCACAGCAGTATTATTCACAATGGCTAAAAGGTGGAAGCAACCCAAGTGCCCACTGAAAAATGGCTAAACAAAACGTGGTCTAAACATACAATGGAAGATTATTTAGCCTTAAAAAGGAAAGAAATAAATTTTTTTTAAAGAATATATTTTATTGATTTTGTACAGAGAGGAAGGGAGAGAGATAGAGAGCTAGAAACATCAATGAGAGAGAGTCATCGATCAGCTGCCTCTTGCACACCCCCTACTGGGGATATGCCCGCAAGCAAGTACATGCCCTTGACCGGAATCAAACCCCGAACCCTTCAGTCCCCAAGCCGACGCTCTATCCATTGAGCCAAACCGGTCTCGGCAGAAATAAAATTTTTAAAATTGATTTTAGAGAGGAAGGGAGAGGGAGGAAGAGATAGAAACATTAGTGATGAGAAAGAATCATCGATTGGCTGCCTCCTGCAGGCCCCCCGCTGGAGATTAAGCCTGCAACCTGGGCATGTGCCCTGACTGGGAACTGAACCGTTTCCTCCTGGTTCATAGGTTGATGTGCAAACACTGAGCCACACTGTCCAGGCAAAAAGGAAAAACTTTTTGACAGGTGCTATAACAGAAATGATACTTGAGAATGCTAAGTGAAATAAGCCAGTCACACAAAAAAGATGCTACATGATTCCATTTATATGCTGTACCTGGAGGAGACAAATGCATAGAGACAGGGAGTAGCAAGGTGGCTGCCCAGCGCCAGGGAAGGAACAGGAGGCAGAGCTGTTGTTTAATGGGTATGGAGTTTCAGTTTTGCAAGATGAAAAGAGTTCTGGAGATGGATGGCTATACAACATGAGTCCACTGAAAAATGGCGAGGATGGTAAATTTTATGTGCCATGTTGCAACAATTAAAAACAAACTAAAAAACAAACGTTCACTGATAGCCCAGGGTTTTTAGGTAAATGTCAAAACCTTAACCAAGGTCTGCAAGGCTCTGCCTTGCGCTGTACCCTTCCCCTGCCCTCGGTCTCCCCTTCCTAACTAGCCTGTCCACATTCCTCAGCTCACACCTTCAAAGGCTTCCCATCCCTCCTGGTAAAAGCCACCATCCTTACGGTGGCCTGCAAGGCACTGTGTAAAACAGCTGCCTGGACACCTCACTGACTTCATCTCCCCCTCCTATCCCTGCTCACTCCCCTCCTCCTGGCCTCCTTGCTGGTCCTTATGTGCCCGATCCCATTCCTGCCTCAGGGGCTTCGCACTTCCTGCTCTCGTTGCCTCTAAGCCCCCCCCCCCCAGCTCCAGGTCCCCAGACATGGCCCACCCCCTCCCTTTATTCAAGTTCCAGTTCTCACTGAGGCTTTCCCCATTTCCATACCACTTCTCTGTTTCGTTCTTTCCCCCTTAGCATTTACCTAAAATATTACATATTTCACTTATTTATTGTGCTTATTATCTCTCCCCTCCACCAGAAAGTAAGCTATATGAAGGCAGCGATGTGAGACTGGTAGAGTCACTTCTGTGTAATATTGCCTGGGGGATAGGTGCATGTTAAAATCTGGTGAATGAATGTGTAGATGAATAGATGAATGAGAGCTCTTCTTCCTCAGCTGTTAAGTTCGGCTCAAAAAGTGATGCTTTTCCTTATGCAGTATTCCCCCTCCCTGCCCTCCCTTCCCCTGCACAGGCCTTCAGCCTGGCAGGCAGGCGTTCTACAGCCCCCACCCGTTCACAAGTGGGCCTCTCCCCTTAATGGATCTGTTTCTCCAGTGCCTAGCACAGAGCTGACATGATATATTTACACGGATGTGTGAATGAATGAATGAATGAATGAATAAATGAATGAGTGCATATATGGGCCTGGGCTGGGCTGAGGTGGGCAGTTGTATATGCTGACTCCCTGGGGGATGTGAGGCTATGGACCATGTACCTTCTCTCCAATCTCTGTCTTGTCCCCGCCAGGCAGCACCTCCAGGTCGGCTAGCAGGGCACAGGCCTCCAGGGTCCGCTGGTAGCGCTTGGGGTCCAGGGCTTGGCCGAAGAGCACATTGTCCTGCAGCGTGCAGTTCTGGATCCAGGCCTGTTGGGGCACGTAGGCCACGGAGCCCTGGCCATGGGAGAAGCCCACAGTTACCGGGGGAGTCCGCCAAGCTTCCCTTCCCAGGAGTCCCTACCCCGCTCACCTTCACATGCACCTTGCCTTCCAGCTTCTCCATCTCTCCCAGGAGGGCGGACACCAGGGAAGACTTTCCGCAGCCCACGGGCCCTACCACGGCCACCAGGGCCCCTTTGGGCACCTGGATGTCGATGCTGGGAGACAGGAGCCCAGTCAGAGACAAAGATCAGGTGTTTGATTCCCGACCTTCCACCTGGAGACCCAAACCCTTCCTTCTTCCAGACACCGCCCTGGCCATGGAGGCTCTTCCTGCTTTCCGGGACAAAGACTTGGGGGTAGGGTCGGGGCAGGTTTTGCTCTTTATTGATCTGAATTTTGGCCCCCTCTAGGCAGCTAAGAAGGGTGGGAGAAGCTGGTACCTGTGCAGGGTTGGGGGCAGGTCCTGGGCCCAGGTGAAGGTGCCATTGTCTATAGTGACTGCATAGCCTGGGAGGGTGAAGGGTTGCAGGGTCAGGGGAGTGGGGCAAGTCAGGGGAGGGAGAGGTACGGGGAGCCCTGGGGAAGGGGCCAAGGGGAGAAGGCAGGGAAGCTTGGGGCGCAGTGAGAGAGACAGGAAGTCCTGGGACAGGGGCACAGGGAGCCCCAGGGAAGGAAGGAGAGTGGGGGGAGCATGGGGAGGGAAGAAGGACAGGAGAACAGAGAGAGGAGGGCAGAGGCAGGCGTAGAGCTAAAGATATGAAAGAGGAAGCAGAAAGGGGGAGAGAAAAGTGGAAAGCTCGGAACCAGGGTTTTCTGGAGCAGGGAGGCTATAAGAGCAGCCCAGGCAGGCGTGTCTGGACCTGGGGTGATGGTATTTCTTTCCACACACTGGGGGTCAAGTTCATCTTGGGTCAGGAAATGCTGGATCCGTTTCAGAGACACGCTGGTCTGCAGGAGGGTGTGTGTCAGCCCCGGAAGCCATGCTTTTTCTATCCCCCCTCCACTTCCCCTTACACTTGCCTGGCCCTCAACTTCCTTGGGCGGGAACAGGCCCCGTGAAGGCCCAGACTCTGGGGGCCCTCCTGTGACTGAGTCCGGGTTGGTGAGAGGAGGTTGTCTCCAGAACTCAGGTTTCCAGGGACCTGACCTGACCTCCTCTGACCCCAAGTGACCCCTGACTCTAATGACGTCATTCAACTTTGAACAATGTCTTCCACATGTCGGATGGCCCCCTCCTGATTCCAGTAACTCTCCTTGATTATCCCCTGCACCTGAGTGACCCCAACAACCTGCCCTGGCTCCAGCAGAACCCCCAGCCCCCTTGGGGTTACCTGGGTCAGGCCGCTGATGAGCTGGGGCAGCATGCTGAGGGGGTTCTTTAAGATATTGAACAGAGACACGGACACAAAGGCCTTCTCGGCATCCAGCACGTTGTTTGGGCCCAAAGACACGTACACCCCGAGGGTGATGAGGGTCACCTGGAGAGCCGTGGGGGTGGGTGTCAGGGCGGGGTGTGCTGGGCCCAGAGGCCTGGCCTTCCAGGTGGGAGAAGGGGGAGGGGAGGCCAGCCCGGAAGGAGAGCCTCACCAGGAAGGGGGTGCAGATCCAGGTGAAGATGGAGATGGCGTGGAGGTAGGCAGCCTGGCGCAGCAGCCGCAGCTCCCTGTGCCGGATGCCCTCCACCTGCTCCAGGAAGCTGGGCTCCCAGGCGTACAGCTTCAGCACCTTGATGCCTCCCAGGATCTCGCTCATCAGCTTGATGCGCGAGTCCTTGAACTTCATTTGTTCCACCTGTGGGAAGAATGGCCGTGGCAGGCTCCTCTCCCCAACCCGGACCTCCACCCACAGGGTCTGATACCTTCCAGGCACTGGCCCAGGCTGCGGCCGGCGGGCTGCTCACCGTCCCTCGTCCCTCGTCCCTCCTCCCTCCTCCCTCCTCCCTCCGGGGCCTGTGCTGCACCTCAGCCTGGAAGGCCCAGCCCTGTCTCCCCTCTCCTCCCGACAAAATCCAGCTCCAGCCTCGGTACCCAGGTCCTGGTCCCTCCCAGGCAGCATCCTCTGTCCCCTCTCTGGGACTCTAGGGTATGTTGTGCTTTCCTCTGGTCCCCAGCGAGATCCTGTCCCTAATCCGGGGCACAGCCCCTCTTTGTTGAGCGCCTACTATGTGCCAGGCCACGTGCTCTCAATGATGAACAACTCAAACAAGGCCCCAGCCTTCATGAAGCTGACAGTTTGATGGGGAGACAGGTGGGAAGCAAACAATCACCTAAATAAATGCTTAATGAATTGGTATGTGTGTTCTGAAGGAAAACAACGGGGTCCCGTGAGAGTCCGGGACGTCAGTATATGTTGGGAGGTGGGAAAAGAGAAGGAGTGGGACAAGCAAGGGAGGGACAGCAGCCCAGGGAACAGTATGTAAGGTGGCCCAGAGGTATGCAGACCTCAGTGCTTTGGAGAAACATAAGAAGGCCAGACTGGCTGAAATTTGGCCATATCCCAGGGGGTGGGGGTAAGGGCTTACAAGGTGAGCAGGGGACCTGGTAGGAGGTCCCAGGGATTCTGTCATTTATTCCATGTGCAGAGGGAAGCAACTGAAGGCTTCAACACGTGTTTGCATAAAATAAAGGACCGGATGACTGGCTATCCACACGCAGCACAGGGTGGCAGGAGAAGCGCTCATTAGAACAGAAGATGCAGGTTCAAGTCCTAGCTCTGCCTGACGAGGGGCTGCCAGCATCTCTCTGGGCCATGGCTGCTCAGCTGCAAAATTCGCATTTTTCCCCCCTAAAGCCCTGTCGGGGTTGTTGTGAGGCTAGTGTGAGCTATGGTTTGTGAATGCGACTGGTAGCCATCCCTAGTGAGTCAACAAAATAAGCGAGGGGCCCCAGGTGAGTGAATGCCCTTTCCCAGCACCAGGCCAGGTGCCCGGGCAGAAGCAGCACCTGTGACAGTGCCCACCTGTAAGGTGCGCATCTTCATGGCCACAACTCCATTGATTGGGATCAGCAAGACCATGAGGGCGACGCCAGCCAGGATGGAGGGGCCCAGTTTCTGAGGAGGCACAGGGTCGTAGATAAGACAGATAACCAACGTATATACGCAGACAGAGCCCAACAGACAGAGGCTTATTGATCTGAAACATGGAGATGGACACAGAGAGAGGGCCTAAATGCCTTCCCACAGATGCGGTCAGCCACCAGCTAATGACAACAGAGAGACACAGACAGGCAGACACAGAGGGATGGCCACACACCCAGGAGGGCAAATACAGTCAGACAGGGACAGTCAATCCCACACACCCTGCCTCCGAGTCCCTCTTCTCTCCTCTGGGATCTTTGAGAAGGATCATCACCCAGGTTGGAAAGACTTGGGTGCAGACACTAGAATCCTCCCACCCCATATATCGAGGGAAGCTCTTGTGTCCAGGAGGCAGCCCCTCCACGGACCCAGGGAACCCTCCCTCGCCCTTTCTCAGCGAGGTCAAGGTCACAGGAAGGGAGCAGGAGTCGGGGTCTGAGAATCACCTGCCAGAGGAAGTAGATGGCCAGGACGATCTGCAGAGGGCCTGACCACAGCATGTTGAGGAAGGGGGCAATGTCCGTGATACGCTGGGCATCCACTGACATGAGGTTGACCAGTTCTCCCACCGTGGACTCACGTTTCACGGAATTGGTGATGACCAGAGCCTGCAGGTAGACAGCAGGTGATGAGCTGCTCCCCAAGCCAGGCTCCCCAGCACCCCTGTGCCCTGCCCCAGCTGACCTTCCTGTAGATGACCCCTATGATCCCCGTGCGAAGCCTCAGCCCCATCACGAAGATGCAGTGGTAATACTGGTGCAAGACCAGGGTCTGCATCACGGAGCACACGAACATCAGCCCGGCCACCAGGAAGCCCCACCAGGTGGGGGCCGTGGGGTTTGAAATAAATCTGATCAGGACGCTGCGAGGGCGGAAGAGAAGCATGAGGGTGGGGAGGGAGGGCTCCCCAGGCTGCTCCCTCTCCTGCCCTCCCCTTCCCCCCTCAGCCTCCACTCTGTCCCCCGCTCTGAAACCTCTCAGGTGGGGGCTGCTTCCTACCCCCCAGACTTAGCCCAGTGCTGCCTCAAGTCCATGACCCTCCATCCTCCCCCGCCTTCTGCCTTCACCTCCTTTTCTATCTCCTGTGGCTCCCACTGCCCCTTCCTCCTATCACTCTCATCACAGCCTTACCCACCTACCCTTCTTGCCTGCTTGGACCACACGGCAGGAAGTGATGCCATGTGTTCCTGGATTTGCCCTTCCTGTGCCTCCCCAGAGCCTACGGCGTGGACCATACAGACTCTTGCCCCTCAAATCCATCCTCTCCAACATCTGCCAGCCCCAGTGCTCCCTGGTGACCTTCTCCAGGACCCTACCCACTTCTTTACTTCTCTAATCTTCTGGCCCCTCCCCCTCTCTGCCCCTCTCAGCAGCTCCTCACTTAACTCATCCGCTGAGAACTCCCCACCAACCTTCGGTCCATGTGGCCAAGACTCAACTCACCACCGTGCCCAGTGCCCAGCCCCCTCCTCCCCCTGAGTTCATCATCTCAGCAAAAGGTCCATCGTCCTCCAGTCACCCCGGCCAGAACCCAGTCGCCCTTGACGCTTCCCTCTCCCTGGCACACCACACCCCTCCCCCACCTCCAGCGTCGCTTTGGAATCCTATCTCATTCCTGGCCTGGGCTCTCCCTACCCTGGCTGGCCCACTTCCATCTGGCCACCTGCCCTATGTCCCCCACACCACTGGCTGGGAACCCTTCCAAACGCAAAGCGGGTGCCCCTCCCCGGCCGCAAATCTTTCCAGGATCTCCCTCTCCCTTTGTGTTTTTTCTGCCCCTCCCTCTGCATTCCAGCTCATTGAAACACCTGCAGTTCCTGAGTCATGCTGTCTCAGGCCTTTGCCACTTCCCCTCCTTCCTCACCTGGCTCCCTAACCCCTGCTTGTCCTTCCAGGTCTGATAACCTCTCTGGCCTGCAAATGTCCCTTGCTCCTTCCCAAGCTGGCCTCTTCGCCCCTCCTGGGGTTGTCCGGACACTTACTACACCTCTCATGGGTTTACACACTGCTTTCTCCCATAAGACGTGAAGTCTGCCAAAACCGGTTTGGCTCAGTGGATAGAGTGTCAGCCTGTAGACTGAAAGATCCCAGGTTCGATTTCTGGTCAAGGGCATGTATCTTGGTTGCAGGCACGTCCCCAGGGTGGGGTGTGAAGGAGGCAGCTGATCGATGATTCTCTCTCATCGATGTTTCTAACTATCTCTCTCTCTTCCTCTCTACAAAAAATTAATAAACTATATTAAAAAAAAGAAAAAGAAAAAAGAAAAAGACACGAAGACCATAGCTCGTCGGATGTCTGCATCCCTAGCATCTGGCACCATGTCAGTACTCTGAGGCTCCATAAATACTCAGTGAATAAATGAGTGCATGAATGGAGGGGTGAGAAGTTGGTGGCTCTAGCTAGGTAGCACTCTTTCCCACCCCCTCATTTGAGATCTCCTTCAAGTCCAAGCCCTGTGACAGAGGAGAGAGCTAGCGTCTGGAAAGAATGCTGGAGCTGGAGATCAGAGCCCTGCATTCAAATCCATCTTGGCCAGCTGTGTGCCCTTGGGCAAGTCACTTCACCCGCTGAGTTTTTGCTTCCTCGGTTGTTATTTTGGTTTATTTTGTTAATCCTCATCTGAGGATATTTTTCCATTGACTTGTAGAGAGAGTGGAAGGGAGGTGGGGAGGCAGAAAGAGAAACACCTATGTGAGAGAGACACATGGATTGGTTGTCTTCTGCACCCAGGGGTGCTGGGGAGGAGCCTGCAACTGAGGTATATGTCCTTGACCAGGAATCAAACCCAGGACCCTTCAGTCTGGGGGACAATGCTCTATCCGCTGAGAAAACCCAGCTAGGGCTGTGGGGTGTGTGTGTGTGTGTGTGTGTGTGTTTTAATTTAGTTTTTTGCTTCTCGTTTGTAAAATGGGAATAGGGACACTTTGTAGGATTTAAAGAATGTGAATGCATTCACCAGGGAGCCTGGCACACAGTATCACCTGGCAGATAGAAGTTGGATGTGAATGGGGACACTGAGGTGAGAGGCGTGGCCATGCCGAAGGGCACACAGAAAGTGGAGAGAGCCCCTCTGGTTCCCAGGCTGGGGTTCTTCTCACTGCATGTCCTCCCGTCCTCGGGGCTCAGTCCTCAGGGACGGCCCCCATCCCCCTGCCCAGGGAAGGGCTGCAGCGAGAGGGAGGGGGTGAAACCTGAGCAGCTGCGGGTTGACGAAGGAGAGCAGGTCCTGGATCAGCATGAAGCATGTGCTGATGGTGAAGCCGGGGCCGAAGGTGACCAGCAGGGCCCGCAGGAAGGAGGGCTTCCGGGGCCTTGGCCGGCCCCCCAGCAGCTCCTCATCCTCACTGGCCACTGTCTTCCCAGATGCCGCTGCGGCCTTGTGTCTGGTCAGGGAGGAAGGAGCAGTGGGTAGGAATGAAGCCAAGTGCCTGGGGTGAGTGGGGAGGAGAGGGCCTTACTGTGCTGCCTGCTTTTGCTGCTTCTTCCAGGCCTCCAGCAGTCTCTGCACCACCGTCTCGGAGCGATTCTCCTTGTTCAGGGACCAGAGGTCCTGTTCTTCCAGGGGGCGCCGGTAGCCAAGGATGGCCAGCCTGGTGAGGGGAAGGGAGGGAGCAGAGCTTAGCAGCCTGGAGCTAGGACCAGGGTGTCCAGAAGGAAGGGGCTCCCTAGGGAGGTGTCTCCTTCATTGCCACAGTGAGCAGGCTGGAGGCCACGGCCTCCCATCCCAATTCCTATCTCAGCCCCCTTCTCTCCCTTTTCCCCGCATGCGCCATGGACCCCTGGGGCTGGTGATGAAGTGCACGCTGGCTGGGGCCCTTTTCAATGCAGCACGGTTAGCGGGCTGTCACTCAGGTCTCAGACACAGTTATCCTGCCCAAGCCACTCTGACTGGCGGCCAAGGAGATGACAGAAGAGCGCAGAGCTAATAGAGGGTTCCTTCCAGCCCCTGGGCCTGTCCTCACCACCTGCCAGACGCAGGGCTGGCCTGCGGCCTTGGCACTCAGCCTCCAGCCCAAACAAGCAGGCTTCCCCATCCTCTCCTGCCCCATGGCCACTGAGGAGGGGGTCTGGGGCAGAGGGCCCAGCCAGACCCAGCTTCGCAGGCTCTTGGACATCCAGCCTGCTCCCCTTCCTCCCTCTTACCCCCCATCTCCTGGAGCCCTCCCTCCGGCCCAGCCTAGAAGAAGAGCCGACTCACTTTGTGAACCACCAGAAGGACAGGCGGGAGAGGAAGCCAGCGTCCGTCTCCGGGCAGGGGTTCTGGACGGTGAGAGTGGAACGGGGGAAATCAGGAGCGCCCGCACCCTCTCGGGCAGCGTAGAGGGAGGAGGCCCCCTCACCCTCCAGCTCCAAGCCCAGGTGGCACGTGTGGAGATGACAGGGCTTGGGAGGGACTGGAAGGGCCGGGAAGGGCTGGCTGAGGGCCGGGCGTGGAAGCTCCACTCCCACCCAGCCTCCGTGGGAAACTCACAGGATCCACGTTCTTCAGGGAGAAAAGCGGTGGCTTCTCCCTGAAGCAGGACAGGATGAGGGCACAGAACACCAGGGCGAAGTAGACGTAGAAGGTGGCGAAGCGAAAGGGGTCCAAGATCTTGCCCTGGGGGGACAGCGGGGAGGAGCATCAGAACACCAGGCTCCTCTGGGGGGTGGGGGAGAGGTAGGTCACGAGGGGCCTTTGTTCCCTGAGGACTTGCCCTGCCTCAGGCGTGGTGCCAAGCACCTCGCCCACATCACCTGTCCAGCTCCCTTGTCTCCCCTACAAGACAGGAAGCCTTTGACACCTGCTTCCCAACTGAGGAAATGAAGCCCCAAAAGGCTGAAGGGTGTGCCCAAGGTCACACGGAGAATAAGGGGGTTATTCCAAGCCTGTGCTGATCAATATACTTGACAACCTCCCCCTGAGATGGAGAAATGGGGAGATGCTAGACTGTCTCTCAGGTTCCCGCCACCCACCGTCAGCCCCACCGCAGACCAAGAGGGAGGCCAGGGACGGAGGAAGGTGGGAAGAGAGGGGACAACAAGACCATGGGACTTCCAGGTGAGCCAGAACTCTCCAAGCCTGTGTGTCACCTCACAGAAACCGGCCATTGGTGGAGGCTACAGAACAGGCTCCTGCACTCCCACGATTATCCACCGAGGGCCCCATTCCCCTGCGTTACACTGGTCCTCCGCCAGATCCCCTTCCCCGTTCTGTTCTGTTTCCCAGCAGAGATACAGCAGGTAGAGGACAACACAGAAAGGACTGAACCCCAGGGGAGTCCTGGGAGCCAGCGAGGGGCAAAGAGGAAGGAGCCTGGGAGCAGCAGTGACCTTGACCCTGAGTTCACCTCCTAGGCAGGTGTGGATGGGCAGGTGCCCCTCTTCCTTCTTACCTCCACCGTGGCTGAGAGGATCTTGGAGCGGAAGGGGATGATGGCGCAGACCACACACAGGAACCAGAAGATGATGAGGACCCCCGAGGACTGCACCCCCTGCAGCCGCTCGTACTGGACCAGCAGGGTGGCCAGCAGCTGTGCGCGGAGGGCGGGGGAGGCGGGGCTGGAGCACATACATCTGGACCTGCCTCCCTTCCCCCCCCTCCCGTGGTCAGATGTCTGTGGGGTCACTCCCAGCCTCTTCCCATTGCCAAGGTGGCCAGGTCCTCCTCAGAGCCCACGGTTCCCCTACCACAACCCCATGACCCACTGGAGACCCGCCCTGACTCAGCTTCCAGGGTCCCCCACTGACCATGGTGACCCCCACCACCAAGGGGGTGACAAAGAAGACGGGGGCGGGGGCCCAGCCGTGGACCAGGCCATGGAAGGAGTAGAAGAGGTCAGTCCAGGAGACACACCACAGCAGGACGCCCACGACCTACAGAGAGGGCACAAGTTGGGGGGACAATCACTTCTTGCTCCTGAAGCTACCGGACCGGCCTGGGCCTGGCCCTGAAGGCTGGGGTGGCCCCGAGGGCTGAAAGCTTCTCCAGGGCGGGAGAGCCCTGACGGAAACTCTGCTTGGGCCTCCCCAAGCAGGGGCTGTACCAGCCGGCTGCAGACTCACTTGGCAAGCTGCCCTGGCCCCAGCAGCAGGTGGCGAGGCTGGGAAGTTCTGTCTAGCTGCTGAGGGTGGGGGAAGGGACTCATTTAAAAAGAACACCCCCTCCCGGGGCCCCAGCCCCGCCTGCAGGAGAGCCCCCAGCCCTGACCGTCTTGAGCCTGGAGAGGTGGGAGAGGACGATGTAGCCGTGGTGGTGGTGCCGCAGGTAGACCAGGTAGCAGGGCAGGGCGGCCCACAGGTAGATGCAGGGGACCCAGGCCAGCAGGGAGTTCTGGAAGCAGGGAGTGAGGTCCGGGGTGTCTGTATGCAAGGACAGGTTGGCGTCCTGGGGGCAGAGGGAACAAGTCAGCGCTCTGGCCACCTGGCAGCATTGGGCTCTCCCTCCAGGGCTGTGACTGGGCCAGAGGGACACTCCATGTGCACGGGGGCAGAGGGGGTGAAGATGAGAGAGTAAGTGTGCCAACAAGCACGTGTTGTCCCAAGGGTGAGCTCTCCTGGGAGGTCCTGGTTGCCCCATTTCCTCATATTCTCCCTCTCAACTGCGGTGTAATTTAAATACAAGAAACCGCACCCATTTAAAGCACATGATCCAATGGGTCTGACAGGTGCACACAACTGCCCAACTGCCGCCCCAATAAAGACGGAGATTTCACCGAAACCGGTTTGGCTCAGTAGATAGAGCGTCAGCCTGTGGACTGGAGGGTCCCAGGTTTAATTCTGGTCAAGGGCACCAAGGGCACGAACTCTGGTTGTGGACACATCCCCAGTAGGGGGCGTGCTGGAGGCAGCTGATGGATGTTTCTAACTATCCTGTTTTCCCCAAAATAAGACAGTGTCTTACATTAATTTTTTCTCCCAAAGTTGCACTAGGTCTTATTTTCAGGGGATGTCTTATCTTTCCATGCGCTAGGTCTTATTTTCGGAGGATGTCTTATTTTCGGGGAAACACGGTATCTCTCTCCCTTCCTCTCGATAAAAAAAAATCAATTAAAAAAATAAAATATATGCAAAAGATAATAACTCACAATGTTAATATTAAATATTCCTTCAAAAAAATAAATAAAATAAAATAAAATAAAATATAGATTTCCATCATCCCACAAGCTCTTTTGTGCCCTTTTACAGCCTGTCCCACTGGCAACAACTGACCTGCTCGTTGTCATTCTAGTCGGTTTCAAACTAATTTTTTATTTTATCAGAACAACATATGCACATGGCCCACTTCCCTAAGCCTCTCCCAAGAAGGGCCAGAGAGCTTCCCCTCCTTTAAAATGAGGGAGGCCAGCCCCACCCCACCCACCTCCCTGGGTGGGTGTAAGCTCAAAGGAGCACCAGGATGCGGAGAGCTTTGTAAATGACCGGGCCTGGGGTGACCAACCATCTTGGTTTGCATGGGAGTGTCCTGGTTCTGGCGCCAAAAGCCCGGTGTCCTGGGGAACCAGTGAGGCCAGACAAGACCCTGCCCCCCTTGTCTGGGATTCTAACTCCACCTAAGAGCTTTTTTGAAAGAGATGGAAGAATACACACAAACACGTATTTTACTGAGATTGTCTCCTCCAAGACCATCAATCAACTCATCGTTTTTTCCTTTCTTGCAAAGAATTAGATGTTCTTTACAGAAAGCTCAGAATATATAAACAATTTTTTTAAACCAACCACACAGCTGAAACTGGTTTGGCTCAGTGGATAGAATGTCATCAGCCTGTGGACTGAAGGGTCCCAGGTTTGATTCCGGTCAAGGGCATGTACCTTGGTTGTGGGCACATCCCCAGTAGGGAGTGTGCAAGAGGCAGCTGATGGATGTTTCTCTCTTATTGATGTTTCTAACTCTCTACCCCTCTCCCTCCCTTTCTGTAAAAAATCAATAAAATATATTTTTAAAAAACCCATCCACACAAAGAAAAAAAACAAACAAAACAAAGTAATAAAACACCACCCACAATTTCATCTACCTAGAGAGAACTGTTAACAACTGTTAACCCCCACCTTCTAATTTGAAAATTGACATAATTATCATTATTTTTGTAAAATTATACATGCACATCATTTAAAAAGTCACTTTATGAAAAAGAAAATGGTACCTTTCCTCATCACTCGCCCCTTTAGCTCCTTTTCTAGGGGTAAATACATTGAAACGGGCTTACTTTCTTCTGGCATCTACTTCCATAGTCTAAGCAATTTGCTTTGACCGTTATTATCTGATTGACGATGATTTGATAATCACTATTTGCTCTTCGCTTTGGAAGGTGAGGCTGTCCTAGTCTCTACACCCTTCCAATGTAGAAACATCACAGAACTTCTGTTAAGTAAATATTCAAAGTTTACACTTTTTGACCGTGTATATGTTGTTCATTGCAAAGTTCAACACAACCGGCTGTACCTCTTTCGAGTGGTATGACCTTGGGATTGAGTGTAAGGACACCCCGTCCTCATTACTGCCTGCTGGTCTGTTGTGTGAATGAACCCACATATGTATGCATTCGACTGTCACCTCAGCGAGTCCATTAAGCCCGGCCACTTCGATGCCCTCAGGGAGCCTGTCCACAGCTCCCCCTGACTCAGACTGCTAGACCTCCATCTCTCTAGGCCCAACCTTAGCCTCAGCTTCTACAGGAAGCCTTTCTGAGGGGTTTTTCTTTGCGTCATCCTGCCTGGCCTCGGCAGCCAGGTAAAGGTCCCTTATGTTTCAGTGACATTTATGTGGTCGTTAACTGGCTGGTTGGTTCAGAACAACTTCCGGAAGTAGAGCGGAGGAACAGCAGTAGGCCCAGCTCGCAAAAGAGAAAAGCAGGCTTCCCCACTCCGGTAACAGGAGCAAGGACACCAAGCCTCGTGATGCCAAACGGGGTTTCTCCCGGGCCACGCAGGCCTCTGAGCACATCCTCTCTCCTATAGGACAGACACGAGGCCCTATTCCCTGGCCCACATCCTCCAACTTCCAGCACAGGGCCAGAGAAGCAGGAGGCGCCCAGAAATGGCCTACGCATTGATTGACAAGGGAACCCGAGTTCAAGGGCATGACAGGAAATCCCTGCATGAGTGTGCAAGTCAGTGGCTCTTTGAGGCAGGCGGGGAGTGACCACAGGAAGAAGCAGAACCTGATGCAGAGGATCCCGTGAGGATTGTCACCACCATGGGCGAGCGAGCTCCTTCATCTCCCTGAACATCTGTCTCCACGTGTGAGTCATAACGGGAGTGATGACAGCCTCCCGGGCAGCTCCCCACGGCACAGTCTCTTGACTCAAACAGGGCAGCGCTTAGGAACGCAGGCGATGGAGCAAGAGGCTGTGGGGACTTTGTTTCGATTGCACAGACACCCTGCGCTGTGACACAATCAAGGATCTTGGGGGCGTGAGGGCTCAGTGGCTGCTTTGACCTTCCGGGAGGTCCAGCCTGGGTGCCATTCCTCCAGATAAGCATGTCTCAATTGGGCAGAGTCCTCTCCAGAAGGCAGCGGGGACCCATCCGTGCCTATGTCCTCAGAACTAGGATGTTGATGTGTTCTTCTCTTTTTTTTCTTTTTTTAATATATTTTATTGATTTTTTTACAGAGAGCAAGAGAGAGGGATAGAGAGTTAGAAACATCGATGAGAGAGAATCATCGGTCAGCTGCCTCTTGCACACCCCCTACTGGGGATGTGCCCGCAACCAAGGTACATGCCCTTGACCGAATCAAACCCGGGACCTTTCAGTCCGCAGGCCGACGCTCTATCCATTGAGCTAAACCGGTTTCGGCGAAGGATGTGTTCTGTGCAACAAGCCCAGAACTGAACTCCCGCCCATCCCCTCCCCACCTCGATGGAGGGTAATGCTTTCCTTCTCCAAGCAAGATCCTTGGAGTCATCCTTAATTCTTCTCTTTCCGTCATACCCCACATTCGCTCCTTCAGCAAATCCTGATCGAAGCAAATCCTTTAAACGATCAGGGGGAACTAGATGAGAGTGCTGGAGTCGACTGTTCTTATCTATAAAAAGGCAACTTCATCTGGGTCTCCTTGATGAATTCAGAGTCCTACTGATCCTCTCCGCCCACTCTCCCACCTGCCATAGCCCCGCTCCGGGCTCCTGCTCCCACCCGTGCCACTCGCCGGCAGTCTTTTCCAGCACAGCAGCTAGAGGCAGAGCTTTATGAAATCTAAGCCAAGCAACACTCTCATGTTACTGCTCCGGACTCCCCACGTCACTCAGGTAAAACTCAAAATCCCCATGTGACCCTCATGACCTGCCTCTCCCACCTTGTTGTTGTTGTTTAAATATAGTTTTATTGATTTCAGAGAGGTAGGAAGGAGAGAGAGATAAAAACATCAACGATGAGAGAGAATTGTTGATCAGCTGCCTCCTGCACTACTGGGGATCGAGCCTACTGGGGATCGAGCCTACTGGGGATCGAGCCTGGGTCCCTTCAGTCCACAGGCCGATACTCTACCCACTGAGCCAAACGGGCTAGGGCTGTTGTTGTTCTTAACCCTCACCTGAGGATATTTTTTTCATTGATTTTTAGAGAGAATGGGAGGGGGGAGGAATTGGGGGAAAAGAGAGAGGTAAAGAACATCTATGTGAGAGAGAGACATTGATTGGTTGTTTCCTGCACATGCCCCAACCAGGGCTGGGAATCGAACCTGCAACCCAGGTACATGCCTTTGACCGGGAATTGAATCTGAGAACCTTCAGTGCACGGGCCAACATTCTAACCACTGAGCAACCAGCCAGAGCTCTTCCTCCTCTTTGACCTTATCTCCCTCCCTCACTCCACAGCTGTCACCCACACAGTTCCCACAGCAACAACTGCTTCCTTAATGATGCCATTAAACAGCTGATGGATCTTACTAGTTCAAGGGCCCCTGCCTGGACGCGGAGGCTGAAATCCCTGTTCACTCCAGCTGGGGACAGATGGGACTGAGGACCCTAGCCCTTTGAGCCAGCTGGCCACACTCTGTCAGGGACTTCCCAGCTGCCACCCCCACCCCAGACTTGCTGACAGCCACTATCATCAGAAGAGTAATTACTTCCTTAATCCTGTGGGGTGGGGAAAAGTGGGAGAAGGGATCAACTGACACGTTCGCATATCTCAGCAGAAATGGGCGTGCAGAAAGGGCTCTGATCCCCATTCACATTCAGGGACCTCCGGGGGCTAAAACAGCCACCTATGGAAGGGCCTGGGTGGGGGGCAAAGCCTGGCTGTGTGTGTGTGTGTGTGTGTGTGTGTGTGTGTGGCGGGGGAGGGAAGCGGGAGAGGGGCCCGGCAGTGGGGGGTGGGGGGCGGGGAGCTTCTATGGCTCACAGGCCCAGCTGGCCTGGCCACTTCTTTTTTATTGATATATATATA